GGGGGGGAAGCCTGCAAGAGAATTCAAGGCTCGAAGGAAGAGGTAGCCCACGCCACACTCGGCTCCTAGTCTGCAGCGGGCCTCGACGTGCACAGCACCGGGAAGCCTCGGGGCGGACAGGGCCCGGTCCCATGCCGCAACTCCAGATACCGCGCTCGAACGCTCACCTACGCGGCGTTCCGAGGCCCGCAGTGTGCGCACGCCCTCCGTCCGGGCAACCGAGCTCTCGCGGCGCACGCTGACCCTCTCTCAGTGATCACCCGACCTCAGGTGTAGACGCTATAACGTGGCTGAGCAGCAAACAGTGCGACCGAGACTCAGGAGCGTGGCGGCGCGGGAGTGACGTCACGCAGCGCAAGGGGCGTGGCCATGCTGGGGGGCGGCGCCCCGGATCAATACCCGCGGCCTTCTCTGAAGGAGTTGGAGCATTTCCGCTGGCTTCCTTCCTCCTGTACCTTCTGTTTTACTAGATCCCCAACTTGACAATGGAACCCACGCACGGTAATTGACAGTGGGCGGAGACCGTGGGCTAGGGAGCAGCGCACGTGCGCATCAGGCGAGCCGCGCGCCGGAAGGACTTCTCTGGCCCAGACCTGCGGAGAGGAGCCTCAGGGCGGGGGGCCACGACGCGGGAGGTCGCCATGGCTACAGAGCCCGCGACTTCGGAGCCCGCGGTGCCGTCGCTCGTGGATCGTTACTTCACTCGCTGGTACAAAGCGGGTAAGTGCGGGAAGAGAGCGATCTCCGCTGCGCCACTTCGGCCTGATGCTGCGGGGACTACTGCGACACATCGTAAATCACGCGCGCGTCCTGGCGCTTCCTCCCAGCATCCGAAGGAGCCGGACGTTAGTGCTCCCCTCTAGCCCGGGGCAATGACATTTGCAAAGACTTGGAAGCCTGAAATACAGCCGGGCGCGTTCTAGGTTTGGCGACTGCCCTGCAGGCTCAGTGGGTTGCTTGTTAGACAACGCGCAGGCTAAACAGGTACTCCAGGCTGTTAAACTCCTTGAGTGCCAGGGGAACTTGAGGGGCTATAGAAAAATAGATTCTGTAGATCTTATAGAAAGTAGCCAGTTCCTTAAAATTAGCAGTAGAGGCAGAGGGATGCAAACATGCAGAATCTACAGTTTTGTTGTCCACTGGTATTGTCCATTTTGCCATACAGAAGCAGGCATTCTTGTGGTAGTGCTTTGTGTAACCTGTAAATACCAGTGGGAGGAGCATCACTGGGGACTCTAACCTAATCCCTACTTTCTCCCTTTCAGTCAGGAATAATGGGTGTCCTCATTTATATTGTAAAGGTCCGGGGAGCATTGGAGGAAGAGACCACCAAGAGATTGTCTCATGCAACAGCAAAGAGTTTATTGGGGGTCCAGCATGCTGGGGCTCAGAGCTCACTTGAATAGAGCAAAGAGAGAGAGCCCTGAGAACAGCTTAAGCAGAGCTTATATACTTTTCTTGGAGAGGGCAGGGAGGGAAGTTCATTGATGGGTCAGAGCATGGGTTGCACCAAGTGAGGGAGTGCATTCTGCAGTTTGGCAGTTGGGGACAGCACATTCTGGGAACAAGATTAGCAAACAGTTCTCAAGATTTCAACGGTGTTTTGTTAAGCATACAGAAAAACGGAGTGACAAGTACCTATTTTATTAACCTTTCAATATTATAGCATGTTTTTCTATTGGTCAAATTTAGGGTAAACAGCCATCCTGGTCCACACAGTATTGAGGGATTTCCTGGAATGTGAGACTTTCTCTGCTAACATCAGGATAGTTTCAGAAATCACCATCAAAAAAAATAAAACAAACAAACAAACAAACAAAAGGCCAATGTAGGATAAGGAATGTGACACTAATTGTATTTCTTTAACAGAAATAATGGGTATAATCATTTTAAAGTGAGGACAAAAGCTAGAGAAGCAGGGGTTTATCACCTTAACATTAAATAAGTGATCCTCAGCACCACATACAAACAGAGATGTTGTGTCTGCCGAAAACTAAAAAAAATTAAATAAATAAACATTAAATAAGTGATTCTTGTGGGTCTGGTTCCATTTAAATACTTTTTTTTAAAAAAAACTTTATATTTTTTAATTATCTTCATAATTAATTTATCTCAGTGAAACAAAAAAAATATGTAATGGTAGTAAATACTGATTTAGCAACCAACAAACTTTTTTACTCTTCTAGATGTCAAAGGAAAACCCTGTGAAGATCACTGTATACTACAGCACTCTAACCGGTAAGCCAGTCAAAAATTATAAATTATCAGACATTTTCTTTTTTCCTGGTATTTAATTGTATGGTCTTGGATTAAAGAGCTTATTAGGCTGGGGCTCAGTGGTAGAGCGCTCACCTAGTACGTGTGAGGCTTTGAGTTCAATCCTCAGCACCACATATAAATAAAGGTATTGTGTGCAACTACAACTAAAAATAAAATAATTTTTTTTAAAAAAAGCTTATTAAATGAACATCACCAAATTACCTTCCACTGTGTGTTGAAATGGTATTATTATAGGAGTTTGGTTGGCAGAAATTGAACATATAATTTTGATTAACTAAACACTCAAATGGAATACATCTTCAGTTATCTGCTACCTAAAGTAGCCGCTGCCAGAGCCCATGGAGACCATCACAGTAGAGGCATGTGTGGTATCCTGTATACTTTCCTCTCTTCTACTCCAGTGCTACCTAAATCCCTGTGCTACTGTTCACTTTCCTAGAAAGAAAATTCAAATCCACTCTCTCATCTATTATTGAATTTCCCATACTGTAGTTAGGCTCTAATAATAGCCAAAGGAAAAAGCAGGGGAATGATAGTTTTACTAAACAAATGTCAGTTCATATAGATTAGTGCAGGTGGGAACACTGTTACAGGAGAAATAATTATACCAAGAATTAACACAAAATCATTTTTTTTCTTCCTGTAGAATATGTGTCATCACATTGGCAGAATCTCATCCAGTTCTTCAAAGTGGAAAAACAATTAAAAGCATTTCCTATCAGATCAGTACCAATTGTAGCAGACTTCAGAACAAGGTCTCTGGGAAATTTAAGCGGGTATGTCCCTATAATTCTCTGATTATTACCAACCAAAATCCTCTATATTCATGATATAATAGATCTAGTCTACCTTAGGATCCAGATATGTATGCTCAGGAATGTGTGTATCCATTCTTTTCTGGAAGTTCAGGGTGTTGATTTTAAGATACTCCAACCATAAAGAAATTCTCTCAACAACAACAAAAAAATAGGTATTTCAGGAGGTGTGGTATCTATCATGTTAGGTTCTGTATCACCACTCCTCTTGTCCCAACTCTAATACCAAAATAACAAGATATTTTGTCTTTTCTAGACTTATTAAACTAGTATCTCAAGTTATATAAAATTTAAGTGATTATTCTATACCATGTTTTCACATGTAAATTAAAAGAAAAAATCCTGAAACAGTAGGAAAAAAATCAGTCTGAGAAAATAATGTGGTGTTTTTTCCACACTAAAACATTACCAGTCAACACCTATTTACCCATGTCTTTCACCTCCACTACCACCCAGTGCTCAGACTCTACAACTCTAGGCAAAACAAACTCTCTAATAAAAGGATATCATGCCGAGTACAATTTAGTTACATATTCAAGTGTCCTAACAAACCCATCGGATTGGGAAAGTTTCTCAAATTATGCTTACTGTCCAGGACACTGTAATAGCATACTTTATAATTCCTGACTTTTCAACCAGAAACAAATGGACATTAAAAAGCATATACCTTTCTTAAAAGAAAAAACTCTACAAATACATATAATAGTTAATGCTTATGGATCTCTTCTCAGTGTCCAAAATAGCAACAATACTGTTATTAACAAAGAACAAAGGACCTGCATATTGAACCCAGTACAGATAAGTTTTAATTGTATATCAACTGCTAGTCATTTATTCTCTCAAGGGAGGTGATAAGAATGGGTCAAAGCACTTCTCTTTTGATACAAGCCCAATTGTAGACAAGCCCTCTGGAACAAGTTCCCACTTCTTACTTCCCAAAAGTGGAGAGTTACAGTGACACCTGTATTTTGAAATGAAGCCCCCCCCCCAAGCAGAGGGGTGAAACCAATGTAGTAATAGTCTCTGAATACAATCCTGTAATGTTTTGAGAGGTAAATTAAAAAGTCATAAAGAACAGTATCTTAAATGCCTGTTTGCTACAGGAAAAGATCCTGAAAATAGGGCAGCACATGAGATGTGCCTGCCTTGACTCCCATGAGCCTTCTTGTAGGTATTTGTCAGACCTCCTCAGATTCCTCCATCTAATGGGAGTACGTGCAACAGTAATCTTGACATCACAAACAGATGTACCAAAATGTGGTATTAATTTAGGGGTTACAGGATAATAGGTAAATCATTTTCATGTGGCTAATTAAAACTCTTTTCTGCATTTCTCTTAAATGGCATATTTTAAAATTTTATTTGTTTTTAACTTTTTGCAAGACTGGAGATGGAACCCAGGAATGCTCTACTACTAAGCTAAATCCCCAGCCCTTTTAATTTTGAGACAGTCTCACTAAATTGCCCAAACTGACCTTGTAGGAACTTGTAGTCCTCCTGTCTCAACCACTTGAGTTGCTGGGATTACAGCACACTCAGCTTGTTTATTTTTTTAAATTAGAAAAATCCCCTCTTCAGAAAGTCTGAGTGATTAACCCTGATAAAGGTTTCTTTAAGTTCTAATGTTTTTACAATAGGTAGGAATCTTTTTTTAATATTTATTTTTTAGTCTTAGTTGGACACAATACCTTTATTTTGTTTATTTTTATGTGGTGCTATGGATCGAACCCAGGGTCTTGCACGTGCTAGGCGAGTGCTCTACTACCGAGCCACAACCCCAGCCCCTAGGTAGGAATCTTAATGAAATTAACTTTTTACACTATGGCTATCATACCCTGTCATGTTGAATTTTATATTATTATTTGTGGTAGATTTTCCCACATTTTGAAATCTTAACACATGACTATTTGTAACTTTCTCATTTACAGTTGAGAAAATATATTATTAGTCTTGTTTTAGTCAGCTTTTTTACTGCTATGATCAAAAGACCTGATAAGAATAATTTTAAAGGAAGAAAAGTTTATTGGGGGCTCATGTTTTCCAGAGTCTCAGTCCATAGATGACTGATTTTGATGCTCTGGACCATGGCAGAAGAGTATAAAGGAGGAGAGCAGCTCAGGACATGGCCAACAGGAAGCAGAAAGAGTCCACCAGAGACAAAATATATACCCCAAAGGCATGTCCCCAGTGATCCACCTCCTCCAGCCACATCCTATCTGCCTGCAGTTACCACTAAGATCCCCATCAGCAGATTAATGCACTGATTAGGTTAAAGTTGTCACAACCCAATCATTTCACCTCTCAACTTTCTTGCATTGTCTGACACAATCTTTTCCAGGACATCCAATATCTAAAGAGTAACAAGTTTATAACTAAATTACGTATTATCACATAGCTTAGTCAACTGTTTAGTGTAAGATTGGTTCCAAGCACATAGTAGGCACTTAGTATGTAAATGTTTGAATACATGAATGGTTTCCATGTATTTAAGTGATTTTTATTTAAATTAACACCAGTTTCAGATGTAGATTGTATTTTAACACTGAGGGCTGCCTCTCAAAGGAAAGTGGAATGTATATCAATTAATCACCTCGCCCTTCTCATTTCCTAGGGGGCACAATTTCTAACAGAACTTGCACCTCTGTGTAAGATTTACTGCTCAGATGGAGAGGAATATACCATATCTAGGTGAGTAACTTTTTAACCACAATTTAGGGGAAAAGCCACAAATACCGTCATTTACTTAAGGAGAAGTAACTATAAAAATTTGTTGTTTCTTAAAAATAATTCTTTTTTAAACAGTTGTGTTAGAGGACGGTTGATGGAAGTGAATGAGAACATTCTCCATAAACCATCTATTCTTCAGGAAAAGGTAAAAAAGAGGAGGAAAATATCCCATTCATGTACCTTTCTTCAGCCCTTTGAATCATTTGACAGTATTAAATATTCTGTTTCTTTTCCAGCCATCTACTGAAGGCTACATTGCAGTTGTGTTACCCAAATTTGAGGAGAGCAAAAGCGTAACAGAAGGGTTACTGACACAAAAACAATACGAGGAGGTCGTGGTGAAACGCATTAATGCCACAACAGCTACATCATGAGGATTGAGATGGAGTGAAATGTGCTGTAGGACACTTACCCACCCTGGCCTCAAAATGTCAGTGCACTAAAGGAGGAAACCCAGAGTATGTGAAGCATACTCAGCACCCGCCATCAGCTAGGGAGGCCTAATCCTTCCTGTCACCTAGTTTCCCTTTTGTCTTCATCCTTCAAGATCTGTCCTGCCTGGGGACTCACTGTGTTGTGTCTATCAACTGACAAGCAAGGGATGTTTTTCTGATTAAAAACAACAAATCTCTTTCAGGAAAATTGGAAAATGGAAAAATTTTAGGTAACCAAGTAAAAGCAATTTATCTACCGTATCTATGACATAGAGGAATACATGCCATGTATTTATCATTATTGCCTGAGTTTTCTGTCAGTTTATTATTTTTATTTTAGTTGTAGGTGGACACAATATCTTTATTTCATTTTTATGTCTCACACATACTAGGCGAGCACTGCACCACTGAGCCACAGCCCCAGCCCTCAGTTTAATATTTTGAAAAAAGGTACCCAGCCTTTCTTCAGTAACATTACCAAAAAGTCTCATCCCATCCCTTTTGCTTCAACTCCTCTGCCTTTAGGTTGTAGAGAAAAAACTGAAGTGCTAAGTATATCTTCTTGGCTCCCTATGGAGATGGGCCTCCCCTCTACAAGGAATGAGATCTCTAATACCGATTTCTTAAATTGCAGATACAAAAAAGGCTTTGCTGGAGCTTTCCTAGCAAATGGAAATAGGACAGTGTTCATCTGGTTCTTGCAATACGTAGGTTGTAGTTCACTCAGTCTCACACATTTTAGGTACAGTTAATGTCTAGCACAGAAATGACAGAATAGTTCACCCAAAGGCATAGATGCAAGAACTTCACATCTTATTTAAGGTATGCAACACATACATAGATATATAAAGGGAAAGAAAATCACTTGATGTGTAGGTTCCGTTGGTTCTTTATCCTCTGATGCTGTTGAAATCATGCTGTCCCTTTCCCATCCCCACTCACTTCCATGAGAATATTCTCAGGTATCTAAAAGAGTATTTTGTAAATAAAACTTTAAAATTATTTTTAGTTCATAAGAAAAATGTCTTTAAACCTGAATGTCAACATGATTGTCCTCTATATATGACCCCTGACAGGTAGCAACTCCTACAGTGATTGTGCTGAGCTGAATATATAAGCCCAAGCCAGGAGATCCCCACCTCAGCATAAACACTGATTCTTGAAGTCTTCATACAGCAATACTAGAGACAGGAACACTGGGTGTCTTATTTTACAAATAACATTATATTGTTCAATTTTTATTGTAATTTGAGACTTTTGATTTCACAGAATAAAAATCATGTTTGATGACTTGATTATTTATTTAAATAGATATTTTATGAAGGTCATTAACAGCTGAGTGCATCCCATCCGCCCCCCCAAGACTACAGTAAAAATATTTGACAAATACCAACTAGCTAGTTGGTGACAAAATGATTTTTTAGAATCTTTTGTGAACATGGATTGTGTTCACTGACACAGATAAAGATCATGATCATCAGACCAGCTCATATCTACTGCCTTTTGCAATTGATGACATGACTGATTTCAAAATGAATTTCAAAGTGTTGGGGTATAAGCTGACACCATTCCAAAACAGTGTTAACTGTATAGTATCACAGGGAGAAAACCCATAAACCAGATCCTTCAATCAAAGATCCATCCCACAAAAACAGAAAAAGCTTCAAACACTAAAATTAAAAATACTCAAAAAGATGTTTATTTGTTTTATGATGAACATTACCATGCCACATATATAAAATATATTATTATTCAGAATTTAAACAGTTCATTGGTTCCAGTGTCCTTTTTACCTGCCATTCCGCCAACTAATAAGAAGAGTAGTTAGAAATTGTTTTATAAGCCAGTAAAAAAGACTGAGGATTCCACCTAGTAGGGCACATTGACCAACTATGCTAGAACTAGAACCAAAAGAGTTACCTTTGGCTGGGAGTGTAGCTCAGTGATGAAAGCTTACCTAGCATGCACAAAGCCCTGGTTTTGAGCCCCAGCACTGCAAAAAAATTTAAAATCCATCTCCTCCAGGAGTTGCTCCAGGGTTTTGTGAGTGACTTCCATTACCTGCCTTAGAGAAGGGACACATGGCCTAATAACCCTTACACTGAAATGCTTGTTAGAAAACAACTGCCACTAGCATGGGGGGTCTGCTGGGGCATCCAAGGGGCCCCTGTCATACCTGGACAGGGAATGAAGGAAGAGTCCAAAGGTTAAAGGAAAGCCCTGTGTTCACCCAGGTTACTGTATATTTTCTCCTGAAATTGGGGTTCTAGAGAATAAGCTTAAATAAAATAGTTAAGGTACAATATGCCAAAGTTGAGCCCTTATTCAAAATAGCTTCTTTGGATTGGATTCAACTGTCATTAAGACAGTCGGGGATATTTGGTTTAATGTTTAAAGAACATTATTAATGCAATGTCACATTTTAAAATCGTACTGCAGTTAGAATTCTAGCAACTACCATGTCATTTATTAGTTGTCAGAAAGCATCACAATCTGAAGATCAGAAAATAAAGCAAGATTTCAGTGCTGCTTTCATTATAAAACTGTTGAATTTCTGAAAATATAAAGAGTCGTTTGCTTCTTAAAAATGTCAGCTTTGCCACATGATGTTCCAGAAATCTGGCCCCAGAGCTTCTCAATTTTTTATGTCCACAGCGTCTTTATTTGTAACCGAGACCCATCTGTTATTTTCCATCTGAAGCTGGAAAAGTTAAGACAATTAGTTTCTGCTTTACTTGAAACAAAAAAACTTAAAATTAAGTAGTAACTATTATTTTCTTTTGCATTTTCCTTTAAGCTAATAAAGTGAGTTTAATATAGAAAACTGCCTCACCTTCTTCAGCAATTTGTAGCAAAGTGAGAGAAGGTGGACCAAGAGAGCCATCATGGATCTTGTCTTTGTAATATACTTATCAACCTACAGTGATAGAAAGCATGCAAATTAGATTCCAACACTGGTACTTCTAAAACTTTTATCATTTATTTGGTTTTAAAGTGATAACATTTTTCCACTGTGGAAATCTAACAGATTGAGAAAGGTATAAATGTATGATCAGACTTGAAGTGCAGAACATAGGGCAGGGTTTGTTGCCCAGATCTCATGCCTGTTTCATGAACCCCAGGAAGAATGGGTGGAAAAGCAATTCATCTACCTCCAGCTCTTTAGGAATTTTTTAAAGAGCTCTAAGTAGGGGCAGGGAATCCCCCACTTTATAATTCCTCCTGCTCTGCTCTGTGGACATAAGCCTACATTTTCTCAAATAATTTATGGGAGCCCAGACTCAGGCGTTTGTGTCTTATGTGAGGCCTAGGGTAGCTGCTCTGTGTTATGGAATTAATCTATGTCCAAAAAGCTAATTTAATTGGTTAGCCTGTTCCTTAGGGTCAGTTATAACAGCAGATAATAAATGAGTTTTTTCAGTCAAGGAATGAAAAATGGAAATTAGCCTTCTATATCCTACTTTATTTTTAAAAAAAGGGTCTGGAGTAACTTGATGAAGAACAGGTGTGCAAGTTTCTCAAGTGTCTCCCTGAGTAATCCCCCTCTCTTTTACCTTTAGAAACATTTTATTCTGCAAAGATGCTTTAGTTACTGTCTGGAGCTGGTGGCATAGAGGAATTAACTTGTTTATTTCCAGAAGAAGCATAAGCTTGTCATCATCTTTCAGCTGAAATATAATTTAGGAAGTTACAATAACCCCAACAAAACTGCATCTTCTAATACTTTAAATACCTTTATATCTTAATATATTCCCAAAGTGGGTATACATGATACCACCACCAGTACTAGACAGGGAGAAGGCAGGTGTTACCTGTTTTGAAAAAGCTTGTACACTTGAAGTAAGCTTTAAACCCTCTGCAGCAAAAACCTGGTAGAATGAAAACAATCACTATTTTAGATCGATGTCTTATGGGTTGGTAAGAAATATACACATTAATATTTTCATATAGTTTGAAAAATACGACCTATACATTAAAAGCAAGTCACAGAACTCCTACATTTTTTGTGTACCCAGGAAACGGGTTTACCTGAATTCAGAAGTTTTCCTGGACCTGATACAAACTAATCACTGGAGAGGCTCCTCTGTAGCTGGATACTTTCAATTATTCTGAAGGGTTACACACATCTGTGATACTCAAATTATGTCTGGTTTTGGGAGGGACCCTGAGCTCAACTCATAAAATCCCCAATCATAAAAAGGTGATGAATCTTGGTGCATGAGGTCAAAAGGGCTAGAACTTTCTTACTTACATTTAACCAAGATTAAATGTGTCACCTATACACTTTCCATCACCCAGCCACTTGAGAGGATCGACTCAGTTGTTGGTTTTGTTATTGTTTTCTGACGGCCTCTTCACCATGCATTTTATTTACAATTTAGTGAGCAGGAAGAAGAACATGAAAAATAGGATTGGACAAGTAAGACAGGAATATTCAGGACATCATATTAAAATGGTGTGAGAGGTACTGTGGACTTAAAGGGACGAAAACTGTTTTAGGTGGCAGCAGAAATAAAGGAGAGAATGGAGCAAATATGAAAGTTATTTATAAATAAAAATAACAGATCTTTGTAATAAACTAGATTAAAAAATAATGAGGAGGAGACTAATCCAAAGTTAACTTTCACCCTTTATTCAACAGCCTTGACACCTTGCTGCTGTTGGTGAAGTGGTCTCAAGGATAAGAGTCCTTGTTTCCTTCCCTGCCCTTTGAAAGGGAAACCACAAACTACATCCAGAGTCTAACTGAATGTCTCACTTCCCTGGGTGCTCCTCACCATTCCACATTACCACTCTCTTCTGTATATCTTCTCTTTCCTTTTCAGTCTGTAAACTCCTTGGGGTCAAGATCCTTGCCCATCTTACAGAATAACATGGTTTTAAAACCACCTTAAAGCTGATAATGGAGAGGTGCTCTCTCCATTCCTGAACTACCCTGGCACTAGCCCTGTATATTCTACTTGGCAGTTATAGTTAACATGAGCAAAACAAAATGCTTGATTTCCACCTTCTAAATCTGATGTTCTCCTTCAGTGTTCCCTTGCTTAGTAAATGACACTATCATTTATCATGTTGGCCAAGCCAAAACCTTTAGATTTAAGTCAGATGATGCTACTGCTTCTGAAAACCCTCGGTGGATTTACCATCATGCTTCACCACTTTCCTCTGACTCATTCCACTCCATCCAACATTGTTCCCTTATTCTTCTTCAGACATATGTAGCCCTACCCTTACACTTCAGGGCCTTTGCACTGGTTCTGCCCATCTGAAATACTCTACCCCCACTTATCCATCCAAGTCACTCTCTTGCTTCATTAATGTCTCTATTCAGATGTTACTACCTCCTTAGAGAAGTCTCTTCTATCCTATCACCTTGATATTCTTGTCCTACATGATTTTATCTACAAGTACTTATATATGTGCATTATATACTAAACTTCCTAATGTCTATTTCCTGACACTAAGATATAAGCCTTATGGGAGCAAGGGATTTTCTTGTTTCACTCTTCTCCCCAGAGTTCTTACCCACCATCTGACATGTAGCTCAATAAATATTTGTTGTGTGAAACATGCCATTTTATGTTCATCTTAGTTTAGAGACAAAACTTAGTTTAGACACAGGTTTAATGCATATGCTCACACAGAAGGTGAGTAATAAGCAGTATAGAATAGAATGAACACAGGCCAAAGAGAACAGAATGAATCCAGAATTTATTGCAGTTGTGTTAAGGGGGAAAGTTCATTTTTAAATCTAATTTATAGAAAAATCCAGAAAAAAAAATATGTGCTATGATTCTTCTTTGTTGACAATCACGCCTTTTAGCTGAAATCCTTTTCCTGAAGTGGTGCAAGCAGAAGGATAGGTATGCCAAAGGAAACTATGTGAGAGTGAAACAGTGATAGAAATTTCAGATTTCAATGTAGGAATTCTCTTGGAAAACAGGCTAACATAGGGAGGGTAAAATAGGAAAGGAGGAGTGGTGTGGTGATGGTATGTGTCTGGAGTCCCAGCTACTTGGGAGGCTGTGATGGGAAGATTGCTTGAGGCCAGGAGTTCCAGACCAGCGTGGGCAACATAGCAATACCCCACCTCAAAAAAAATGAAGAAAAGAAAATAGGAAAGAAATTTTACAACACACTTGCCAACCTAAAGTTTCTAACCAGAGGAAAGATAAATGGAGACAGGTTTACATGGAATTCCATTAGACACAGGACAAAAGGGTGGTACCAAAATACCTCTCTCCCTAAATTCCCTAAACTATCATGAACATGGAAGAAAAGAAGGAAACTAACAAGTACTGAGTACCTTCTAGTGGTCTTCAGTCTATTACTTCTGAAATTTTTTTATGTGTTACCTCATTAAATCAATATCATTCATCCAATGCAATTATGAAGAGGCCAAAGAACTTTTCTAGAACTCTGGAAGATATAAGGGATTTGCATCTGCTTTCAGGATATTTTCATCTACTTGGGACTTGCATCTGTTTCAAGTTTGCAACATTGCATCTGTTGACTACCAATCAAGCCTATTCTGCTTTATCCCTATAATATTTTGGTTTCTAATGAGATAACCAAGAAAGCTTGACAAAACATTATGCAAGCCCTCTTTCTTTCTACTTGTCTGCTGTTCTCTAAAGCACAGGTATATACATGTGCAAGTACACAATATACTAAATCACTAAGAACCCCGTTAGAATCCACTTTTAGCCCAACATTAAAACAGTATAAAGTAAAAAATAAAATATACCTCTAGATGATGAATTAAGTCCTGGGAAGTTTTCAGTGGCCCTTCTCCTCTAAAATAAAATGAATTATTAGTAAGGTTAAAAAATTGTTGGCTGAAATTGACTGCAAAATATAATTTCAGAACATTCTGTGTATTGACAGATCCCAGGAACAGACCAATAATATTGGAACATTTAATCTTTATAACTTTATAATCTTTATAACTTCTTTGTGTACTTTTTTTTGTCCATGCAAACATTATATATGTTGATTTTATAATGTAAAGACATTTAAAATTAGAAAGTTATATTTGAGTTCTATTTGTCCTTTTTAATCTTTTTTTGTGTTGCTTCATGAATTAAATATATGAGATTTATAATATCTTAACAAAAAGTTCTTTGTTATATAATGAAAACAGAATCAGATCAAAGTCAGAAGATTCTATTTCTAATTTCAACTCTGGTAGGAACTCAGTTATTCATTTTTAAAAAGGCCTATTATTGGGGCTGGGAATGTGGCTCAGGCGGTAGCGCGCTCGTCTGGCATGCGTACGGCCCGGGTTCGATCCTCAGCACCACATACCAACAAAGATGTTGTGTCCACCGAGAACTAAAAAATAAAATATTAAAATTCTCTCTCTCTCTCTCTCTCAAAAAAAAAAGGCATATTATTTAAGTTTCAACTTTGAATGCATAAGATAATCATGATAATTCTTGTGCTACCAGTCTTACCAAGAAATTGGGAAATATCAAATTCAAAACTACCAAAAAAAATTAACAACTCTAAAAGATGAAAAGTAGATTGCAACAAAGAAAATAACAGAAAGAACATAAGACCAGCAATATACTAGACATAAAACAGAAAATCTGTACTCTAGTAGCAACCAGTACTTCCACTTAATAGCTTTGTGACCAAATCATTCCTGATCCCTAATAAATTGTTGATTCTCTAAAGAAATCATAAAGCAAAAAATGTGTTAAAAACCAAAAGGCACAGCACTAAAAAATGACAAAATCATGGAATTTACAGGGAAATGGATGGCACTAGAGCAGATTATGCTTAGTGAAGCTAGCCAATCCCTAAAAAACAAATACCAAATGTCTTCTTTGATATAATGAGAGCAACTAAGAACAGAGCAGGGAGGAAGAGCAGGAAGAAAAGATCAACATTAAACAGATACATTAGGTGGGAGGGAAAGGGAGAGAAAAGGGAAATTGCATGGTAATGGAGGGAGACCCTCATTGTTATACAAAATTACACATAAGAGGTTGTGAGGGGAACGGGTAAATAAACAAGGAGAGAAATGAATTACAGTAGATGGGGTAGAGAGAGAAGATGGGAGGGGAGGGGAGGGGGGATAGTAGAGGATAGGAAAGGTAGCAGAATACAACTGTTACTAATAGGGCATTATGTAAAAATGTGGATGTGTAACCGATGTGATTCTGCAATCTGTATTTGGGGTAAAATTGGGAGTTCATAATCAACTTGAATCTAATGTATGAAATATGATATGTCAAGAGCTTTGTAATGTTTTGAACAACCAATTAAAAAAAGGCACTGGTACATTTGAAATGTTTTCAAACTAATAGGCATTAGAAAATTTTAAACATATAAATTAAGAAATATAAATTATTGCTTATAACTTATTAGGAAACCATATACATTATTATAAGAAAGTTCAACAACAGCCTGAGGAGAGGTTTGAAACTGCCTGAGAAAATTTCAAAGCTAAACACTGTGAAGATTCACAGTCAGAAACAAGGACATAGATGAAGTTGGCAAACCACAGGTCTTAAGGGAAAATAGAGACAACTATTGAGGAAACAGGCAAACAGTGTGGGTACAAAACAAAACCAACCTAGGATGTTATTACAAGGAGGTAATTGAATTACCAAGATTTGTTTAAATGATACAAGGTGTTTCTCCATTACAGAAAATCCATCTTCTTGTCTTAAACTTCATTTCTGTCAAATAACCATATTCTAGCAACAAGTCCCATTCCACGGAGTTTTTGTTTTATTTGGGAACTGGGGATTGAACCCAGGGGTGGTTAATCACCGAGCCATATCCTCAACCTTTTTTATTTTTTATTTTGAGACAGGGTTTCACTAAGTTGCTTAGGGCCTCCTAATTTGCTGAGCCTGGCCTTGAATTTGTGATCCTTCTGCCTTAGCCTTCTATTTTGCTGAGATGAGCACCATCATGACCAGCTCCATTCCACAGTTTTAGGAATTCCTACCACTGATGGGACAGCCCCTTCACTTCCCAGTCTTGTTGGGATGGACTCTGTCCATATCCAAATCCACTATTCTGACTTAATAACAAAAAATCCTTATCATATTTTCCTGACATATTCTGAAATAACAAAGAGCAGATATATCTTTTAAAAAATCGGATAAACATTTTGGGAATGTTTACATACTACATTCATTAAATTAATAATGTATTTCTCTAACTTTTATTAGCCAAAAACTTTTTTAAAAAAGCATGATCTTCGTGCTAGTTAGAGATAAGTAGCATGATTCAGCCAAAGGTTGAGATTTCAGTTTCAGCAATCTATAGAAATTGGTTGTTGTGTGAACACAGGAGTTCATTTTTTATGTTCCTTTGTGTGTGAAGCGGGGGAAAGGGAGACTAGGAATTGAATACAGGGGTGCTCTACCAATGAGCTACATCCCCAGCCCTTTTTATTTTGTTCAGGCTGGCCTCAAACTTATGATCCTCCTGCTTCTGCCCCCTAGGTAGCTGGGATTATAAGTGTGTGTCACAACAATCAGTCCCATTTTATGTTTTTTTGTAGACTTAAGCCATCAAATTTTTTAAAAAAGTAAGAACTAAGCAAGAAGATCAAAATTATTGCTGGGAAGACTCAATTGAGAAGAAGCTCACTAAACACAATTAAAAACTAAGAAAGGAAACCACCAAAGAGGAATGGTATCTAATGATGGAAAATACGGTAAGGTATTAACAAGAGATTATTAGTTAGCAGAAAAATTTCACAGAAGACTCCTATCATTTCACAGAAGACATCATCAAGAGGCAATTGAAGCCTCTTCCCTGTGGAATGCTTTGCGACCTCTCCTGGTCTTCCTTCCACATGAAGGAACTCCACAAACATAACATCCCTCACCTCTGTCTGCCATGTCATTTATTCTACCCCATAAGATGGGCAGACACTCATCTTTTCAGTCTTTGTGGAGACCCTGAAAAACTCAGTTGGAATTACAGCCTTTCCCTCTCTCCTTTTTCCCTGGGAGTGAAATGCCTTTGGGAGCCACTTGCACTTCCATGTGTTTTAGAGAACATCCTGCCCCAGGAGGCAAGACTGCTTCATTCTGGGGATCATTTTTAAAGCCCTACTTGCCTGCACTCTTCAATTCTACTTTATTAATCTTTTCAAAGCCAACATGAGTAGGAAAGGAGCTACCTAGGAGATACTCAAGTATCGAAACCTGATTTTCCAAATTTCTGAAAAAGAAAATTTCAGAAAGTGAATAAAAGTTTGAAGTCATTCCTTGAGGAAAAAAATCTAGAACAGATTATTAAGCAGATAACTGGTTTTAGCTAAGCAGAATGTGTATGATTTAATATAGCAAAAGACTGGAATATGATCAAAATTGACATGAATAAGGCATTTGATCAAGAGCCTTATAACATGGATAAGACAGAGAATACAGAAAAAGTAATACTAAAGTTAGGGAAAGTCTCCTCTCCATAATGAAAGGTGACTCATGGAGATTTGGCAATCAATAGAGATAGGTCTTCATAGATCTATTCATTAATCTTTGTCTAATCATTACTTGTATAAAGATATAAAAGGTACATTATCTAAATATACTGGTGTTGGCTGAGAGATATGATATATAGGTTGACAAAAAGCAGAATGTAAATTATTTCAAAATTCTGGAAAGAATAGGATACAAAACTAGAAAAAGATCACTTTTACATCTAACTCTCAATTAAATAGATGTGTCTTCTTCTTGTACCTGCTGAAGTAAATTGTCATAGTAAGTACTTCCAGTCTTGTGGGGGGGGGGCGGGGGTGTAAGCATACAAGGGATCAAACTCGGGTCTTCACACATACTATTCACTGAGCTTCATCCCTGCCATTGGGGACAAAGTCATCCAGGTTGGCCTTGAACTTGTGATCCTCCTACCTCAATCTCCTGAGTCCCTAGGATTAGAGATGTGTACCACTGCACATGGTTTAACTACTTCCTGTCTTTTTACCATGCCTTTGCTAGAGACTTTAACCTCATAATGATTTTACATGGCACTTTTTCTTTATACCAAGTATCAGACTAATTTTAAAAGATCAAAATGTAACCACATTACCTAGTAAATAAATATAGAGAATAGGCCATCCTGGACATGTTCCGTCCATATTGAACAATCTCATTGTCCTGATCCTCCCACTTCTCAATTTCGCAGTCAGCATCAGAGGTGAGCAAACCCAACTTAAGTCCAAGCTTTGCTATCTTGGCTTGCTCCTACAAACATATATTTTAATCACAACTTGGTCATTGTTGATGCAAAAGGAAGAATAGATGTAAGATTATTACAAAAGAAAAGGCTTTACCTCAGAGTCAGGCTTGTCCAGCTTTAATGATTTCAGGTTTGCATTATTCTTCTGTGACAATAAAAAAATTGAGATTTCTTAAAGGCAATACATTTAATTGTGAGGAAATATAATAGTAATAATGTAACAAAGTCTAATTTTAACATATCTAGTATATAGCTAAATCATATTAAGTATTTTAAACTAAACAAACAATTGCTGAATTGCATGCAGCTTTGAACAGGTCGTTGGTTTGCAACCTGGAGCTAGGGAAAGCAGGTGAGTGTCCTGTTTCACAGTGTCCTCTGTGTCTGCAGTTGCTCTCCTCTTTGCATAAGGGTTTTGGGGACCTCTCAAGACACTTCTGCAATATCCTTGGGAAACAATAATAATGTCCCTCAAACCTCTCTGGCTTATCTATTGCAACAAGATTATTATATGCTTGAATTATTCTTATGAAATGATGTATTAAAAATAACCACTGGGCTGGGGTTGTGGCTCAGTGACAGAGCACTTGCCTAGCATGTGTGAGGCACTGGGTTCAATTCTCAGCACTGTATAAAAATAAATAAAATAAAGGTACATTGAAAACTAAAAAAAAAAAAAATTTAAAAAATCACCTGTAAGTACTTCATACTTTCCCAATGGTTATGACTCCAGAATTAAATTCCTTTAAATAATGTGCCTTTAGAAGGCTAAATTTCAATACCTTTGTTCCATTGTCATCACAACTGTTCAGACTGTATCCCAGGTTATAAAGATTACATTTAGAATTTAAGATTTAATATGTAAACCAATGTTCAATGGTTTCCTATTTTTGAAAGAGCAAGTTTGTTTTTACATAAATTATTTGGAACTCAGAATATATTTCTTCTAGAAGGGGAGAGATCTCTACCAGTTAGATCTATACAAGTTCACAGATAACTACTCATTTGAAGAACAGGGTACCAGGATAGACCCTATAGTACTAACAACCATGTTTCTCCAATACCTTTAAGATGTATATATAGATGCCCCTCAACTTACAAGGGGATTATGTCCTGATAAACCCATCATAAACTGAAAATATCAAAAGTCAAAAATGTATTTAACATACTTAACATACTGAGTCTCATAGTTTATCAACATATATATGGTAGAGTATCAGCTGCTCCCCTCATGATCACCTACCTGGCTCACTGGAAGCTTCGGCCCACTGCCACTGCCCAACCAGCATTGTACTACTTACAGCAAGCTTGGTAAAGATCAACAATAATGTATGCTTTCTACTGAATGGGTATCACTTTTGCACCACTGTAAAGTGATAAGATCACATAGTCAAGGACCATCTGTGTGTGTGTGTGTGTGTGTGTGCGCGTGCGCGCACATGCATGTGTGTACATATCATGCTCCGTGTAACATTTGGGTTAACTAAATAATGCATATACGATGGGGGTTCCAGTAGATTATATCACCTAGCAATGTCATAGTCATCTTAGTTCAAGTACACTGTGATATTATTATAACCATGAAATCACTTAATAACATATTCCTCAGAATATGCTCCCCACTGTCAAGTGATAGGGGTCTGTGTGTGCGTGCGTGCGTGCGTGCATGTGTGTGTTTCGGGCTCCTTTTTTGTTTCCCTTGTTACAACCTGACTTGTTACTTCTGTGTGTGTGTGTGTGTGTGTGTGTGTGTGTGTGTGTTTCCGGCTCCTTTTTTGTTTCCCTTGTTACAACCTGACTTGTTACTTCTGTTACCAATTTCACTTCAGAACAAAACTGTTCCCTTCTTTTCCTATTCCATAGTTTAGATGCACTCATTGAACATAGCCATTCTGAGATTTTTTTAAATTATGTTTATTTTAAACACATAAATGAGGTAAAAGGACATGAAATAAATATGCATAGAGGAACTACAAAATTATACACATACATGAACACATGCAAATGCAAGCTGGCTCTTGTGCTTATTAGAAAACAAACAGACATGATCAATGATCTCTAGCTTCTCCTTCGATAGTCATATCATCTTTATTTCCTTCTAGCAATCTATAAATCAAATCATAAAGCAATTGAGAAAGTTAAGAATATTCTCAAGACTTTTCGGCCTTATTTTAGTTAGAATTTTTACATCCCACTGTATTCTTTGACATTAGCTGTATTTATTTATTATGTTTTTAATTTTACAAATTGTTATTAAAGAGTTTAACAAAGACTACAAGAGAATTGACCTATTCTTTTCATCTTACTAATGTGACCTCGCTTGCCATCTAGTGGATACTATTTTAAAATGCAGTCAGGTGCAATAGTTATAATAATAATAATAATAATAATAATAATAATAATAATAATAAAAATAATAATAATAATAATAAATAATAATAATAATAAATAATAATAAATAAATAATAAATAATAATAATAATAATAATAATAATAAATAATAATAATAGAATTGCTTAAGGCTGAAGACTTTGAGCCTCTGAAAAGAGAGCTACAAATTTCTAGGAATACAATTAGCTATGTTATCCTCAAATAAGAAGATGGTTTGTGATTCTGAAATTATTTCTTCCTAAAGATAACGCTATTTAGTCCAATAAAATCTTTGCTACATTCCACCTATTAAAAGCTGTATGATGACTGGGGCTGAGGTTATGGCTCAGAGGTAGAGCCCTTGCCTAGCATGTGTGAGGCACTGGGTTCGATCCCTGGCACCACATAAAAAATAAAGACAAATAAAATAAAGGTATTGTGTCCATCTAGAACTAAAAAAAGTAAAAAAAAAAAATTTAAAAAGCTCTATGATGTCTCTTCTAACCTCAAAAAAATATTTTGTAATAATCCTAAGTTATAGGAGTTGAAAAAAAAATTCAAGCTATCCCTATTTGCTTAAACCCAATAGGATATTAACTATAATATAAACTAGTAGAGTTAAGTAGGGTTAAAAAAACAACAAAAAAAATAGACAAATTTCTATCTACGCCCTGAGGATAGTTAAGGCATAGAAGCTCTTTTCAAACACACACACACACACACACAAAAAAAAAAAAAAAAAATTATTTTGCAGTGTTATATTTGCTTCTGCACCAGCTACATTGTTTTCAAATACTAATTTTCAATATTTTTTATTTATTTATTTTTTTAGTTTTAGATGGACACATTACCTTTGTTTTGTTTATTTATCCATTTTTATGTGGTGCTAAGGATCGAATCCAGTGCCCCACATGTGAGGCAAGCGCTCTGACACTAAGCCACAACCCCAGCCTCTGATTTTCAATATTAAATGCCGGTTTTCTTTTTAAAATAAACTAATTAAGTATATGCCATTTTTTAAATCTGGGGGTTTGCTTAATCATTTGCACTTCCCCTACACCAACAACCATTCCCACTGTTACTTCTACATCCCAAACATGGGCACTTTACTCTCTCTCTCTCTTCATTGCCAGTTCTCTCTTCTGATACTCACCATCTGTTCTTCTTGATAATCATTCACATAAATTCTCTTTCCTCTCTATTCATTTTATTTTTCTGTGAGTTTAAACCTGTACTCTCCAATAGAGTTAGCCACATGTTGCCATTGAACACTTGAAATATGGCCTGTCTGAATTAAGATGTGCTGTGTAAAATACACACCAGGCTTTAAAGACTTAGGCTGACAGGAATACTTCAAAAAGGTTCTATAGTTACATGTTAATTATATGTTGAAATGATAATATTTGGGATATACCAGATTAAATATAATATGAAATTTCACAATTTTCTTTTTAAAAATATGACCACTTAAAATTTTTAATTACGTGTATGCCTTGAATCATATTTCTACTGGACAAGTCCAAGCTAGGCTGGCTGAAACCAGCCTGCCTTTTTCATTGACTAAATTATTGCATTATTTTCTAAGTGACATACTTATATAGGCAGTTCTAGGAAAACGGAAAACTGCACTTAACAAAATGTCTTTAAAATCCCCACCTGCAGAATATATATTTTAGCATCTTTTTCATCATTACTGCACCAGTGCCTAGCCTACTGCCCAGCAAACAGAAGATGGCTAAGGAGTATTTAGTGGTTGAACAGATGAACAGATGAATTTTTTTTGTCTCACACGAAACATTGACCTGTTATAAGAACTTTTAGCTGTAAAAATTACCCTTCTTTGTGACTAGGGAACTGGGTATAATTTTATGTGGGGAATAATTTACCATTCTTTTATTTTCTCATTTGCCATTGTTTTCCCTCTATTTCTGAAGTCAGAATTATTAGGACACTTGATGATTCTAGAAAAATATCCTTTTTGATAAATGATTTTTTGTTACTATAATCTCTGCTTTTCATACCTTGCATTTTATTCAAAACTATAAATTTCTATAGAATGATCTCTATAAACAAATTGCTCTGGTCCTCAAAACATCACCTGGGTTACATGACCGATGTTAAAATGCTATCAGCCAGAAGACAGGAATTGGTCATTCCCAAAATGGACCTTAGGACCAGTGCCCAGCTCAGTTACCCCTCTGTATCTTTCCCAAACACATGGTATGTTTTCATCTAGGTAGAAAGTGTATTAAAAATTTTAATTTACAGAAAATGAATCCAACAAAACCTAGCAAATTAGACCTTAATTTGACTTCTGACCTTAGATTAGGGTTTATTAATCACAAATTCTGTTACCCATCCTCTCAAATCCTCAAACCCAACACAAATATTCAGAGTATGGGCCACATGTAGATTGCTACCAAGAATAACAACTCTGAACAAAGTCTAGTATCCTAACCTTTTTCTTTAGGGAAGGAAAGTAGCTGCCGTAGGCAACAAGAACACAATCTAGATTCTATATAAAAAAAAATCTGAAATGTATATAATTCTACTTACCGCTGGCTTTGGAAGTGAAAGGTAGCCATACTTCTCTCCTACAAATAACATATATAACTTAAAAAATTTTTTCTAATAATACATTTATATTATACACATTTAACTTTTACCAAAGATTAAATGAACAAGAATGTTAGTACATTCATTTTGATAGCCTATTAATTACATGTCATTCAGAAATCAGATCATAATTTGGTAGGCAAAGGTGAAGACTGCAAACACCTGCATCCCTTAAGGCACTGGAGACGTCTGGTCTCTCCCAACTCAAAAGGGAGAAAAGCAAAATGCCTGACCACATTGACTTTCACTTACAATTAGCTCCATTCATTCAGTGCTCCTCTTACCACAGCCTGCCTCTACTAAAACCAAAGTCCTCTTTTAGTAGCACCAGTATCAGTACTTCTTCCTTTTCTGCAAGTACCAGACCAAATCATTTACAACTAACCTCATAATGTATTCTCAGTCAGGGAAGAAGACAACCTCAGTGTACAAGATAGAAAGATGATTTTTTTTTTTTTTTTGTGGTGCTGGACATTGAACCCAGGGCATTGTACATGCTAAGCAAATGCTCTACCATTGAGCCACATCCCCAGCCCAGGAAAATGAAATAAAGCAAACAACAGAGTTTTTTGGCTGTGAATTGACATATGGCATGAAGCATAATAACTCAGGAAAGGAAGGAAACAGGCAATGTCCTCTTCATCATGGTCTTATTATTTTCTAGCTCCCAGATCATGTACAGACTTGGTTACAATAAATAATAAATGATTTTTCAAAACTAGTTTGTGGCTTCTGGTGTAAGAATTTAAGATGAAATTTGAATAGTATTGCTTTTTGAAGGAAAACAAGTGTATTCAGCTATAATATATCAAGTTGAGCCAAATTAAAGTGTTATCATATACAAACACTTGGAAACTACAAAACAAATTTCATATAGTCTAACCTTATAAAAGAAAACATAAGAGCCCTTAATCACTCATTTTCTTATAGAATGACTATTATATGAACAAAGCACACCTGTTGGTCTCAGAATAGTTTATACAAATATTAAAAGTTTCATCTAGAATTGCCCTAGTGAGTATGGAATCAACTAGCCACAAGTGACTATGGAGCACTTGAAACATGGCTAGTCTGAATTGATATGTGCTGTAAATGTAAAACACCAGATTTTAAAGACAGTACAAAGGGGGAAGAAGGATGTAAAATATCTTCTTACTAATTTTAAAATATTGATTATGCACTGAAATAATACTTTGAAAATACTAAGTTAAATAAAACCTATTATTAAAACAAATTTCACCTGTTTTTTTTAATTTTTCTTGTGTTTTCTTGAAAATTTTAAATTATATATGTGGGCTGCATTCTATTTTTATTGGACAGAGCTGATCTACAAAATGAATTATTGCATGGCATATATACACAATGGAGTTTTATTCAGCTATAAGAGGAATGAAATTATGTCATTTGCAGGAAAATAGATGGAACTTGAGAACATTATGTTAAGTAAAATAAGCCAAACTCAAAGTAACTGGTCATGTTTTCTCTTATATGTGAAAGCTAGAGAGGAAAAAGGAAAAGAAAGGTATATGTGTGTAGGTGGTGTCATGAAAATCAAAAGGAGAATAGTAAAGGAAAGGGACCAGGGAGAGGGAGAAGGGGAGGGACAGGGTACATACTGAGGAATGGTATTCATGAAATTATATTGGTATATGTGTGTAAGTATGAGTATATAATAACAAATCCTACCATTGTATACAACTATAATGTACCAATAAGAAATATGGAAAAGAAAAAAATGAATTATTGCTAAGGGTCAGCCAGTGGTATTTCAAAATAATTTGATTTAAATAATTTCTCTGTAATATCAGAATTGTAAGAGAACTTTATTAGTAGTTTTTTGAACTCAGAATTGTTAAGGGATCCAGGTGTGGTGGCACACCACATGGTGGCTTGGGAGGCTGAGACAGGAGGATCAAGAGTTCAAAGCTAGCCTCAGCAAAAGTGAGGTGCTAAACAACTCAGTGAGACCCTGTCTCTAAATAAAATACAAAATAGGACTGGGGATGTGGCTCAGTGGTTGAATGCCCCTGAGTTCAATCCCTGGTACCAGGAGGAAAAAAAAAAAGAATTGTTAAGGGAAAACCCCTTAAATGGGAGGCTATTTTCATGTCTTATAGCCAGGCTCTAATATAAAAAGTGCCTGACTTAGCTGCACGAAGACTAACAGAAAATAATGTTCAGGTCACTTCAAATGTCAAAATTTACCACCTAGCTAATTCAAAGTCTGAATATTATCCATAAGATCTCTAAAATGGGGCCTTAATAAGCTATGAAAAGGAGGGCACAATCATTACTTAAGGATAACTAGCTCAGGCAAGGAATCTTGTATTATCCAGGCTTGACGTTCCATAATGCCCAGACCATGAAATGGTCACATCTATTCTCCAAAAGGGGAGGCAATTATATAATCTGGCTAGCTACCATTACCACCAGCTAGTCATATTTATCACAGGGAAGTTCCAATCCCTGTAGTCTGCTTTTAAGTACCTGTTTGTTTTGCCCTCTATTCCTATCCAGCTTAAAAGTTAAAAAAACCACAGTGAACATGTGGTCCAAAACAAGCACAAGATTCTTCCTGTTTCAGTTCTGTTCTATCCACAGTGAATGGTAGAGTACTGTGTAGAGAAAGAACGGAGGTCCATGTAATAAGCTCAGTGTGAGAAAAATTCAAGATCAATCTGCAGTATTTGTCATGGGACAAGAATGAGGAGTGGCACTCATTCTGTACACACTCGTGCTGTACATCTGCCTACTCTGATCTAGTCTAATGCCCTTATTATTTGAATATAGAGGATTGAACCCAGGGTGCTTAACTACCAAGTTACATCACCAGCACTTTTTATTTTTTGAGACAGGGTCTCACTAAGTTGTTCAGGGCCTTGCTAAATTGCCGAGGCTGGGGGCTGGGGATGTGGCTCAAGCGGTAGCGAGCTAGCCTGGCATGTGTGCAGCCTGGGTTCAATCCTCAGCACCACATACAAATAAAGATGTTGTGTCCGCTAAAAAAAAAAAAAAATTAAAAAAATTCTCTCTCTCTTAAAAAAAAATTAAAATAAATAAATAAATTGCAGAAGCTGGCCTTGAACTTGCAATCCTCCTGCCTCAGCCTCCAGAGTCACTGAGATTACAGGTGAATGCCATCATACCCAGCTAAGGCCCTTAAAGATGGGAACCTGAGAAACAGAGGTTAAAGGACTTCTTTGAGGTCACCTAATGGTAAAAACAGAAGAACACATTACTTGCCATTTATATATTGCAAGTACCATGACAAATTATTTCATTTATGGCCATAAAGAAACTGAAAATAAGGCTGGGATCACGACTCAGTAGTACAGCACTTGCCTAGCACATGTGAGGCACTGGATTCAAGTCTCAGCACCAAATAAATAAATAAATAGATAGATAGATAAATAAATGTATTGTGTCCATCTATAATTTAAAAAAAGAAAAGAAAAGAAAAAAAAGAAACTAAAAATCAAAGGGCCAGGTAATGTGCCTAGGCTGCCATTACTAATATACTATATACCCAATCATATCTTCTATAATTTAGACGGCCCCATCATCAGCTAATAAGTAGCAGACTAAAACAAAGATCCAGTCTTCTGGCCCTCAACTGCTTGCTCCTTGCTCTAAAGGTTCAGAGCAAGGACTATAACACCATCTTTGGGATCTCCCAGCCATTTCTGGAAAAAATTCAAAGACAAGAGTAAAACCCTGCATGGCAGTTGTGAGCATTTTTCACAGAATCAGTTCATTCCTATTGTGATAAGAGTGGATGAGTGGTTGATAATATTTATCTTTGGCTTCATTTAGATGAAGCACAACTCCAGGCCTCTGTAGCTTCTTCACTGTGGGACACTGACATTACTTCTTCAAACCTCAGTTTTATCATAAATAAAATATGGAAATATAATCTTATAGAGTCACTGAGAAGATGAAATGAGATAATGCACGTCTAGCACTTATCAAAGAACCTGGCACACAGTAATTTCTCAGTATTTCATTTGTATGTTTATATTATTATGATTTATATGCCTCCAAATATAAATATAAATATCATATTTATAATGTTACCCATACAGACACTAGTAGCTTGTGGTTTTATTTTTCATGGAATCTCATTCGCTCAAAGCTCAAAAGGATATCAACTTCATGGAGCACTCACAAAAGACTTTTAGAATTGGCAGAGCTTCTGAAACCGCTCAGCTGATGGCCTTCGTCACTGAGCTGAGGACACTCACAGCCAGGGCAAGGAGTGCTTGCCTGAGTCCAGCTAGAGAAGGAGCTGGGCCTAGAGGTGCTCTGGCTCTCCCAGACCAGGTGTCCTTTCACCACACCAAGCCACTTCTCTTCATTTCCTAGCAATCCCTATGGCTAAGTGATACTTCCTTAAATGTGGACCTAACCTTTTAACATACAAAACTTGCCTCACATAAAGATCCCTGTAACTATAAATCCTTTAGTAAAGCTTCAAAGTGATATACCATCCACACTAGCTATTGCAGAAATCTTTAAATATAGAAGCACAGTAAATATTTATTATACTTTACAAATGTTGTTATAACTAGAAGGTCTATCATTCCCTGATTTCTAAGCAAATAACATTCATTTTGAATGGGTCTTTCTAATGAGGTGTTTAAATATTCATCTTCAGTGAAAGTAAACATGTAATTTGATATTATAACTTTAAATGACATTTTATTTTTTTAAATCATGCTTTGACACTAACAGAAATCATTCAAAGGGAAAAAAATATATGTATATATACATAAAAATGCATAAACAAATAACAGAACACACAATACAATGGAAAAATAAAATTCCCAGTAGTTATGAAAATAATGAGCAAAAATGATGCCTTCCTATACAATGTATGGTACTAGTCTATATGTTGTAGAAATACCAATGAACTTACCCACCACAGGCAATATTCCAAGTTTATGTAGTCATCAAGGAAAGAGATTCCATCCAAGTGGAAGGAAAGCAATTCAAAAATCAAATAACTACATTCATTTCATTATGAAGTTAGTAGAATTAAATCAGAAAATCTCTGTATTATAGAAGAGCTTTTGTACTAAAATTTAAAATGATTTAGAAGAAATTTTAAAAATAATATTTCAATAGGAAAGCTAGAATGTTAATTCAGAGAAACCTACTACGTTATAATACCACAAATTGTACTGTTTAGACACTAAAAATAAAGACAAAATATTTTTATCATTTTTCTGTGGCAGATATTCAAGAAATTATTCAGCTGAGTTATAACATGATAATTCATTTTGCATCTGAGGCTTCCAATTAAAAAACTTATGGAGATATATTAAAATAATAAAACATAAAGGAGAAAAATCATAAAATATGTGGATAGTTTCTCACCTCGTCTTCCTTCAAACACATCATTGATTTCTCTCAGCAGTGTTGACATGTCACTAATCTGAGATTCCCAAGCTTCACAAAATACATCAAGGTTTTCTTTAGCAATTTTACTAGATGGATGCAATGTCAGTGTTTCGGCAGCAGAAATTATCTAAAGAAACACAACATACACAGGCATGGATTTTTAAATCTTAGCCCTCAGAATCACATTGGAAACCAAACTTTAGTCTGTACTGTTCAATTCAATTCAAAAAACAACTATTAAATAATTTCTACAAGCCCTATGTTGAGTAATATAGAGATACACAATAGAATAAGACGTGGTGTTTCTTAAATCCGACTTACAGATACATTATTGCCCCTACATTCAGGGGGCAATTATCTTTATTCAAGGAAGACTATTTCAACAAAGTTATTTCTGTAGCACAATTCAAAGACATACACTCTGACTACAAATAGTGTACTGTATATGGTAGTAGAAGAGAAAGTAATAGTGGTGAAGCAGCAGGAGTAATGGTAGGTAGACCGTAGTACTGGTAGTAGTAACATGTACACACACCTGTGAGTACATAGTAGATAATAACATGCTCGAAACACTGTGTCTTATAAATGTTTGATGTACATTAATCCTCAAAAACACACAAAATATTACCCTTCTCAAATAAGCATTATTCCCATTTTATAGCTAAAGAAATTGAAGCTCAGAGATGCAAAGTAACTTTTCCAAGGACCTGTATCTAGTATATGCCGAGCTGATGAGTGAACTCAGATCTACCTGACCCACAGTCCAGACTCTTTCCACCACATCATCCTGCCTCTCACAAAACAGTAAAATGGGCAAGAATCTGCCTCATACTTTTACATACCACCATATGGGCTAAATAAATGTGTGAATAATTTAAAGAATTATTGTAGAGACAGTTATGTTTTCATCAAAATCTTGTTACCACCCTGCTCCCGACACAAAGCAAGATTATATTTCCCAGGCTCCCTAATAGAGGGGTATCATGAGCAAGCTGTATCATTAACAGAGACCAAACGTGTGTCTTTCCACAATGTCACAATTTCTTGAATAACATTATATTCATTTTCATTAATGGATGAATACTTGCAAGTCACTTGATAGTCATAAACTGGGCAAACACAAGTTCTGTTATTCCAGCCTTAATTTCAAACAGCTAATACATTCAAGTCACATATCACACCTTACATAATTATATGTATAATTTACATAAAGGCTAAGAAAAGGTTAAGAAAGCCACAGGGGTTCAAGAGGCTGAACTGAGAGCAGCAAACAGAAAGGTAACGAGTCACTGTATGTGGTCAGATGAGATTGGGAACCAGACAAAAAGCTTGTTCAGGGGACAGAGTTATCAAAGCATAGGATTTTATTTTAGGTCAAGATCCTGCAAGAGGATAAGTTTCAGAGTGTCAGCTAGGAATGGTCTTTGCATGGTCATAACAGGCAGGAGAAACTACCCTCTGCTGAAGTCCAAGGAAGAGATTTGGAAGTTCACTGCTGTGGAGATTTTCTTGGGCAAGAGTCACAACAAGGGATTTTTTTTTTATTAATAGTTGTTCAAAACATTACATAGCTCTTACATATCATATTTCATACATTTGATTCAAGTGGGTTATGAACTTCCATTTTTACCCCGTATACAGATTGCAGAATCACACTGGTTACACATCCACTTTTTTACATACTGCTAAACTAGTGTATGTTGTATTCTGCTGCCTTTCCTATCCTCTACTATCCCCCCTCCCCTCCCCTCCCATCTTCTCTCTCTACCCCATCTACTATAATTCATTTCTCTCTTGTTTTTTTTTTCCCTTTCCCCTCACTGATTCTTGAAGTCACAGTGTGGCTATGTCTAATGTGAGGAAGTCAGAGTGTGGCTGTGTCTAGAGTTGGGGTGCTCCTCCTTTTATGGGTCTTAAGCAAAGGGATAGCTTCATTTGGTGGTCTAAAATGTTCAATGGGCCTGGTTTTTCCAGTATGAGTGTGATACACCCATGCATTCATGTGCTTCTGACTAATTCAATAAGTCACAGGTGGTCATTTTTGTTACCACAATTAATTTATTTAACAGTTTGTGCCTTATCACTGTACTAAGCAGATGGTAGTTGTTAACTTGTCAAAATTAAGTATAGAGTCACTCCACCACAGCAGTGAACTTCCAAATCTCTTCCTTGGACTTCAGCAGAGGGTAGTTTCTCCTGTCTGTTATAACCATACAAAGACCACTCCACCTCAGCACTTAAAACTCAAAATGGCTTATGGTAAAACTACTGCTTTATAAAATGGAGTAACATAGATTTAGGCACAGTCTGAGAACTACTGGTCTATACATGGTGGAGTAATTCAGCAGGATAGCCTGCTCTCCACAAGGGGTATGGCCATTGACTAAATTCTATTCACTTTAGCCTGGGCCACCACTTCCATGCCTGGCCCATTCAAACCTCTCTCATGCGCCTCAGTGCTCTCTCCCTGCCCCATATGAAGGTTCAGTGCACTGGACCCAGCAGGGAGTCTGAGGTCCTGCAGGCTAGCAAGTCACAAGATGAAGCCTAGGTTGCCAAGAGGAGGAAAGCCATGCCACCAATCAGGACTATCAATAGGGAGCAGCCGATTGCTTTAAGCCACTGTTATTTGGGTATTTCATGTTTGATCTTGTATTAGTTGCTACATGAATGAATTAATGAAACAGCTAATATTTTATCTTTCATGTAATAATCACTCTCTAAACAAAGTACTTAAGAAATGCTATTTATAACATAGGCAGAAAACGGATGGCAAATAAAGCCTGAGGATAGGAACAAGAACTGATTGCACATGGCAAGAAAGCCAAACACTCCAGTTCAAAAATATATTAGTTACCAAGGCAAGTGGGCTGACCCTCATGTGTACAGACAGATATTAAAGCCTTGGTTTCACCCGCTAAGCAGAGATGCCCTGTTTGTAATAGTATTCTGCATATATACGATCATTACGGAAGCTGACTCAGGTAGCTCCTACTTCCATGATAAGCTTTTGACACAGATCTCTAGAGGAGGCATGTAATCTCCCTCTAGCATCCAACACGCTAGAGGACTACAACTTAACTGTCTCTAGGTTACTTTTACTGTTATTGGATATAACTCAAATATTCAGAAACTTGACATCCATCATTCAAAATTGCAATTTAAGAGCAAGTTCTTTCAGTTGACCATGATAAATTAAATAAGAACATCTGGAAAACTATTTTAGAGCTTGGGCTCAAAAAAAAAAAGAAGAATTTTTTTTTGTCTTTAGGTTATAAAATTTGACAGAGACAATATTAAATGGAATATCTGGCTGAGTGCAGTGGCACATGCCTGTAATCCCAGTGATTTGGAAGGTTGAGGCAAGAGGATCACAAGTTCAAAGCCAGCTTGGCAACTTAGCAAGATCCTAAGCAACTTAGTGTGACTCTGTCTCAAAATAAAATATAAGGAGTCTGGTGATACAGCTCAGTTGGTAGAGTGTCTGCCTTGCATGCACAAGACCCTGAGTTCAATCCCCAGCAGAACAAAAAATAAATAAATAAAATAAAATATAAAAAGGGCTCGGGATATGGCTCAGTGGTTGAGTGCTCCTGAGTTCAAGCCCGAGTATAAACAAATGGGATATCAGTTTTTAAAAGGCTTTTTAAATTATAAAGAATAAGTAACACTAATAGAAAATTTAGAAAAATAACTCGTAATCTAAATAGGGAGAATTTTAATTTCTGCATATTCCCATGTAATCATTTTCACGGGTATGTACATTTTGTATAGTAGCAATTATAGAATATACACAAATCTGTGTACCACTTCTTTTAACTTTGTAACAAAATATTTTGATGTTGCTAATTCTGATTATCATATTATTATTTTAACATTATAATATATTACAATTTAATATTTTCAAATATTTTGCCTAATTTAAGAATAGTTATTGTTTCAATTGAATTTTATTATAAATAATGTAACAAGAATTGTTTTGTTTTTTAAATCCCCCTATACCTTTAGGAATTATTAGGTTGAAATGTGAGATTATTCTTATGGTTCGTTACATAATGGTAGTTTACTTCCAAACATGTTATAGCATTATAAACAGCTTCATTTAGAATAGATATAAACTAGAATTTCAGGGTGCCAATCTTCAATTTGACAGACAACTATATAATCCAATGGAATGTCAGCCATATTTCCAGCATTTTACCAATGAAGAGTCCATTATCTTGCTTTCTCTTAGTAGATCTGGCCTCTAGTTATGCAGAACCCTTTACACCTTCCTTCCTCAAAATTCGTTATAGCAATCAGATAAGACATAATATGGAGGAAAGAATCTGCTATTAAGCCTACCTGTTGGCCAGTCACTTGAAATGTCTCCTCTGCATGTATACAGGTTATTTCAAGAGGTTCTGTCCCAGATACATGTCTCAATAATCGACAGGTCTACAAGAAAACAAGTCTATAGTTCAACTTCCATACTCATATCCTTCACAATTACACTTCATAATTATTACTTCATAATTATAAAGAAAGTTAAATTTTACAAATAAAATTTATTAAAATCTATAAGAATACATTTGCATATTACCAAAATTATTAAAAAACTATATTGTTTACCAACAGACTCTCTAGGGTCAAAGTGGGAACAAATTAAAGCATAGCATATTATCTCTACTTCCAATCTGATCAGGACTTTAACCAAAAACTGTACTCAACATTTTCTCCTGTTTAGCTGTTGTATCATAAACTACAATTTCTTTAGCAAGCAAACCTATTACTCACCTCAACAAGCTGTTCTTTCTGTTCAGAGAGTTTACAGGCATATTCAGCCAAAGCTTCTAAATTTCCTTCTACTCCAGTAAGTTTTAATGCTTTTAAAACCACGTGGTCAGCATGGTATTTTAACAGATCTGCTGCCAGCTGCATTGCTGTACTGTGAAGCTGCAGATGTTGGGTGTGAAGGGCAATGAAGGAAAGGAAAAAAAATACATTTTGTCACCAATCACCTGACAAGCACTTAGAACTACAGAACAAAAGCCCCAAAGCAGTCCCATTTGATGGGCTGAGGTAACAGAAGTTGTGGAGCCCTGGAGAATGTAGTCCCTCCCAAGGACCAGGTGAGGTCTTTTCCTTTTGCAGCTCCTGGGGCTGGTGATACTGCTGTCTGGGGAAGGTGACCTGGCCATCCAGTGCAGAGCAGCCAGGGCTCTTTTCATCCTATCACCAATCAGCTCTTTCCCACACAGCTTCTCTCTTGGTCAACAGTGTTTTTGCTACTCTTAAGAGTTAGTGAGGAATTCACAGTATTGAAAGTATTATAGTCAGAGTGCTAAGAGGAAAAATCAAATGGCAGTTCATGATCACCAAGAAGTCTTTTAGCACACTTTTGAAGAAGTGTCAATGTTAGATTCAATTAAATATTTAATGAAATGTTATTAAATACCCATATTGTGGCAGGCACTGCCCTGGAGGCTAGACATGCATGACAAGTAGGACCCAGTCCCTGCTCTCAGTGGTGTACAGTAAATGATGGTTGCTATCCAGAATTTTACTTTCTTCTCTAATAATAAAGTGGATCCCGATGGAAATAACAGATACAAAGGTATCCCAAACTCTAAAGCAATGATTGACTTTGTGGGGGAATGGATTTTAAGCATGGCTCACTATCTGAATATTTCTGAACACTATTAACTCTAAAAATGTTTTCTTCTTATCTTACCTCTTTTTTTAAATAATGTAACAGGTGATTTGTTGTCCTGAAAGAGATTATTTTTCATAAAAATATCATTCTAAGGAAAATTCGACTTGAATTAAGCCTATTTAAATGAAGCAATTTCTTTTTTCCTGGAAATAATCCAACGTTAATTCAAATTACAGGACTTTCTACAAAATTAACAATAGGATTGTCTGCATTCAGCAACCAAGTGAGAATAATAATAGCAAGAAACAAAGACATTAAGATCTGTTTTCCTTTAAAAACTAAAGCCATGTAAGAATTGTATAAGGTTTTGTTTAACCAGCAGGGCTTCAGAGAAGCCTTTATTTTGCCAACCCTTTATTTTTCTGACTATGAAACAGGTCCATAGAGATTGAGTTACTTGCCAAGGTCACATAACTCTTACAAATGGTTCTGGGGACAAGCCATTAACAACCATTGGGAAGAAAAAGAAAAAGAGACAAACATGCTCTGTGCCATGTCCTGAAAGCAGCTTTATATACTTCAGCTCCCTTAATCCTTATAGGTTGATGTGGTTATGTCCATCTAAGAGCTAAGAAAATGAAACCTATGAAAAGTCCCTCAGTCTATCACCAAAGGATTTCACGCTGCATTGAGAGTACAGGATTTCAACAATAGTTTAGCTAAAATTGAATAGGATGAAATAGTCTGGGTAGGCTTTGTTTTAAGGCATAGAAAACCATGACCTTCTTCTAAGTTCAATGAGGGGTTTGAATGGAGGTTTCAACAGAGGTGTCAGAACCAAGTTGAAATGTGAAACAGATCATCATGCACATAATTTACATAAGAAACATCCAAAACCCAATTTAAGCCTTTGACTCACTTCAAAAAACATAAAAGAATTATGAAAACAGAGATAAGGGAGAAATTTTTATGAGGAGGATCTCTCTGAAGAGCTTAAGTGCTTATTATGAGGCCCTCTTAAAGCACCCTTCAGAGTAGAGAGAGTAATAAGACTTGGCAGTTATAGTGTTGAGGAGAACCTCTGAGGGACACACACAAGCATCCATGAGACAGAGTCTGCTTCAAGGGTCTACTAAGGCCAAAGCCGTCTTACAGCGGAACTAGTCCTTAAGAACTTTCTGCCTCATCTTTCTCTTTTCTCTCCCTGTGCCACAACCTGCAAAAATCAGTAACAGCAGCTACACTGTGGAGGATGAGGGGAGTGGAAAAGAGAAGAGAACATATCTCTCCCAAAAGCTCTGCCAGGGGCTGGGAGCAGCAGTGAAGTCCTACCACTGAATGAAGACTGGAGTGAACCTTCTGATTTCTGAACTGAGATTGTGCTTTAACACTGAAAGTAAGGATTGGCACACATTTTCTATAAATGGGCAGATAGTAACTATTTTAGGCTTTACAGGCCACACAGGCTTCATTTCACTCTCCACTGTGCTATTACAGAAAGAAAACAGTAGATAGCCTTCACACAAAGTGGGCAGAATTTTGTCCCAAAACACTACTTAGGAAAACAGACAATCCAGAGGTAGTTTGTGAACAAATCCCTGTCTTCAAGTAACCACAGAACTTCCAATTACCTGAGTGATCCAATAAGTCATGAGTTGACCAAGTTTTTATTTAAGAACAGGGAAATCTCTAGTGAGGTTTATTTAAATATATCCAACTTAAAGGTACAGTTTTATGAGTTTTTTTATTTTTAAATTTTTTTTCGTTGTTATGGACCTTTATTTTATTCGTATGTAGTGCTAAGAATCAAACCCAGCCCCACATATGCTAGGCAAGCACTCTACCACTGAGCCACAACTCCAACCCAGATTTATAAGTTTTGCAAACACATAAGCCATATAACCCTACTATGACCAATATTATATTATTAGTTTATTACTCTATAGAGGCTTCCTATGCCCCTTTGTAGTAAATATCCCCAGTTTCTTTTCTTTTCTTTTTTGTTTTTGTTGTATGTTGTAGTAGTACTGGGAATTGAACACAGGGGCCCTTAGCCAATGAGCTACATCCCCTAGCCTTTATGTATTTTGATTTTTTTTTTTTTTTTTTTTTTTTTTTTGAGATGGGGTCTACTAAGTTGCCAAAGCTGATCTTGAACTTGAGATCCTCCTGCCTCACCTCCCAAATCACTGGGATTAGTCTTGCACCATTGCATCGGTTAACATCCCTCAATTTCTGACTTCAGGCAGCCACTAATCTTGATTTCTGTCATTAAAAAATAGTTTTTCCTTGTCTAGAACTTTTTTTCACAATGTAAACATACACACTTTTGTGCCTGGCTCTTCTTCCCTTTAATATAGTGTTTTAGTGATTCATCTAGATTGCTACATACTATTCCTTTAAGTTGCCAAGTACTACTTGGTAGAGTTACAGAAAAAGTCATTTATCAATTCCCTTGTTGTGGAAATTTAGGTTGCTTCCAGTTTGGGGCCATTAAAAATGAAGTTGCTGTGAGTATTCATGTATAAGCTTTGAGAATGATAACACATATAAATGGTGGCTTCAAACTATGTCAAAGGGAAAAATTTTATCCATTTTCTAGTCACACATTAATACACATGGATTTCATTCATACTGAAAATTAAAAGAGGCTAAATTTCAAACCATACTTACTTCTTTCTTAAGTTCATTGAGACTGTGACTGATTTTCAAAACAGTAAGTTCCAATTCTTCAGCAATACTTTTTGTTTTGATGCTTTGCTAAAAATTTTAAGAAGTACATGTATATAATGTTATGTCATCTTTTAAATCTAGCATTCAAATTTCATTTAAATTGTAAATTATAATAATTTATATCTTTTGATATAATAAAGTATATTGTTAAAACGTACCTGCTTATGGTTAAAATGGAAAATAAAATTTTAGTTATTTTTCCATACTAATTATAAACACGTGAATTTTTAAAAACCCATTTTCTTTAATAAACTCGTGTCTAAACTAATCTCTTTCTATCTGGAATGTTCATCCCCTTCACTCTTAACCTAGTTAAAAATCAAAGTACTATAAGACCTTACATAAATGTCACTTTCTCAAAAAGCCTTCTCAGGTTATTTCCCAATCTAGATATGAACCTCTTTCAAATGCACTCTAAATTTTTCTCTAAGAAATCATTCCAGTTCACAATTATATATTTCATTTTTAAAGGCTCTCTTCACCATTAGGCTTATGAAAGTTCCACAAAGACTAAGATCACCACTGAATCCATAGTACCTGGCACAGTACATGGCAGGTCTGAGGTGTTCAATTCTTTAAATAAATAAATCAAAGTAAAATGTCAGTGCTTTCATGAAGTCTTCTTGATTCCTCTTGCTAAGCACAAACTTATCCTATTGCAAACCCTCTAAACACATGTTCTTACAAAAGATTTTTTTTAGAGGTATCTTATTCTTCTTTAAGTTTCTGGTGCCTGGCATATAAAAGGCACTCAGTAAGAACTGCTTAAAAAAAAGAAGTATATCTGGTACAGAATTGGAGCTCTGAGTGCTTGTGAAATATGTGAAGGGTGTTAATCGCAAATATAAGAATTGGTAGAATCGGGTTTCTAACAGAGCATTTCAACACAAGAAGCTCTTTATAATGTTTAATTTAAAATTTAACAGTAATCTACAGTGTTAAATGTCACATAGATAATTCAAACTAAATACAAAATATTGCTTGAGTCTTTTATACCACTCTACGGTAAGATTCCTCCTTAATGAGCATCTGCTCTGTTGTGATACCAATAAAATATCTGAAAAATCTGTAATTCATATCTACTCTTCATTAATAAATCAATTCAGTTACCATAAAGTAGATGGCTGCTTCGTTTTTCATGATCTCAACCATATTCACCTTCCTTCATCTTTACAGCCAAAGCTTTTGTTTGTGACTCTGGATTAGTTCTGTTTCTGCTGTGTGTTATATGTCATGTGAAATACTTTTCTGACATACCCTAGGTCTAAGAAAAAACATATAAATGGTGCCAACGACATGCCTCAAGCCTGTCCCTCCATTTTGCAATCCACTGCTAAGAAAGATGGAGAACACACTTGCTGTTCTCTTTACCAGTCATGCCCAAAGAGCCTCCCATATTTTAAGCACACTAATAACCTATTTGAGGTCCACTAAACAGCTGCCAATGGATTTAGACCAGGAATCTGTCTAAGAATGAAAGATTTTTACTTGCTAGAGGGATCTACCCTTGTCTTCATTGCATCTAAACCTCAGCAAATGTCCTATAGCACTGTGTCTATCAATCAGCTGTCCTCGGAGTTAAGAACTGTACACATCTGCATGGCTCCAGCAGTAAGAGTCAGATACCAAGAACCTCTAGGTAGGAATCTACCCCTCTGTGCTTCACTCTGAAGAAGCATTCTGGGAAGAAATTTTGTAGAGGTGAGTTTGGTGGAAGAGTGGAAACAACAGGGCAAACTAAACATGGTGACAGTAGCAGAGTCCGGACTGGCCTGGAAAATGTCACATACTGTGAATGCTGGGTGGGAAAGATGTTTTGGCCAACTAGGAGGGAGAAAAGAGATGGGACATCCTCATTTCATGTTGACCAAATTCATCTTCCTGGTGATTATGTTAGCCTCCACATGTCTCAAAACATTACTGAAAAGCTACTATATAAGATTTACTTTGATGGAAAAAAGTTCTTACAGCTTGAATCCACACAGAAATGAACTGCTGCAGTTCCATTCTCGCCTGAGTTGACAGTTCCAAGATGCGTTCCCTATGCTCATGGCTGGTGTAAGCAGAATCCGTGAAATCCTCCGTGCGCTCCAAGATGACTTCCAATGTTGCAGAAAGGTTCTCTTTGGACTGAAAATAAGGGTTCTCCCGTACAGCTTCAATATTCATCTGAGAATAAAAAGAATATACATTCCTGTGAATCAGTATTCCCACCTGATAAAAATGGGCTAAACACTATCAATTTCTTTCCCAGCTGAGAGGAAATATAGCCTACAATGATAACTATACTTTTCACTACCCCAGGAGAACACATTGTTCAAGAGTCATCAGGGACATGCATAGCCTCATTCCTAGAGTTGTTAATATAATGACATTCCCAGGAGATCAGTGACTGCTAAGACAAAAAGAGCAACATCACATAGCAACTGGCAGGAAAAAAATGAAACAGCCTCCACTTTAAAGTCGTGTCACAAATATTGCAAGTTAATCCTACGTAAGACCCATTTTAATATGAACCATGAAAATACAAAAGTTTGGGAAAATCAAGAGATTATATGGGAGTACCAAAATTCAGTAAATCATTCCATTCTAGGTATACAGGATTTTTTTCTTTTAAGCTAAGAAAGAACATGGATTATAGTGAGGTATGGAATCAATCGTGAGCTTCTGAATTTAAGAACTTAACTAATTAAAATTTAACTAATTTACATCTGAGAAAATGCCTAAGCAAAGTTCTGTAAGATATGTTACACCCAAACATGAATATGTACTGAGCCCGGGGGATAGTTGTGGAGGGTAAGAGAGACTGGGAAAAACATCAATTTTCCTTTATTAATTCATAAAAAAACTTTCCTAGTCATCTAATTGGTCTCCCTACACTTTGTTTTATGTCTCCAATAGACCTCAATGATTCAGATAACCTCAATCAGAGGGGCTACATAATCTTTCCAAAAACATAAGCCCTCTTCTATTGCCATATAACCAAAATTCAGTAAATCACTCATTCTTAGGTTTACAGGATTTTTTTCTTTTAAGCTAAGAAAGAACATGGATTATAGTGAGGTATAGAATCAACTGTGAGCATCAGAATTTAAGAATTTAACTAAAACATAAAAAATAGTCATGTTGATCTCACATTGTTTATAATAAGGTTTTTACTTTCCTTTTCAAGAGAACATGTATATTTTTAGACAGCAACTTAGTAGAGTTTGGTAGAACTTTTTGAAGGCTAGTGATTTATGTTTCCATAAGATTTGTCCATTTATACATAATACCAAATACAGAAAAGTACCCAATTTCCCTGTACAGATTATATTCCCCATTAGAAAAAAAAAAAAAATGCCAAAAGGAAGCCACTGACAATGAGCCTCTGCCCTCTGAAGTGCCTTATCCTGAAAGGGTCAGCAGCAAGGGCAGTCAGCAGCAGAGGCAGGCAAGCACTGTTCCGGCTTACTCTAAAACCAGAAACGAAGAAGCAAGGCTTAGATCTCCTTCTAAGCCCACTTGTTTCCCTAGTTAGCCTTCGATGCTTGGCAACAGATCTCCTCCCTCGGCACTTGTAAGAAGAGGGAATCAGAAAACTAATCTCTCAGATTTGGCAACAACATTTCTAACTGGTCCTTGCAGCTTCTGTCCCCTCAGGAAGAGATGCAGGAGTAGGACTGGCATCAGAGAAAGAAAGAAACCTAGAGGTGTAAGCTGAAAGTTCAAATTTGAGAACTAGAGTATCTGGGATCTACAGAAGGTCCCACTTCCCTTCTTTACCATTCATTAGCTTTCTTCCTAAAAAAGGGGGTGGGGACATAAATACATCCACCCAAAAAAGGCAGTGGGGGATTAAATACAATATTTATAAAGAACATGGCCTCTGCTGGGCATGGTGGTTCATGCCAATAATCCCAGCAGCTAGGGAAATTGAGGCAGGAGGATCATGAGTTCAAAGCCAGCCATAACAACTTAGTGAGGCCCTAAGCAACTCAGCGAGATCCTGTCTCTAAGTAAAGTATAAAAAAAGGGTTGGGATGTGGCTCAGTGGTTAAGCATCCCTGGGTTCAATCCTAAGTACCAAATAAATAAATAAATAAATAAATAAATAAAATATTCTGCTACTTTCTCTACTTCATACAATTTTAAGTATAGTAAGCTAGAAAGAACACCATTCCTGTCTCAGCCCTGTTTATGAGGGGTGGCGTAACTCTCAGCATGTTGGAAAACTTCTCAGGGCCTTGGTTTTTGCATCTGCTAAATGAGAGCACTGTACTAGATGTGTTCCTGGGGCCCTCCTGGCTCAGACACTGCCCATGCCCAGAGAACACCTTTATCTTTCAGACTTTCCACAATAAGTCAGACTGCCTGGAACCACACTTCCTAGCTTCAAATCCCAACTCTAGTACTTTCTAGCTAGTTAGTTAATCTCATCTGTGTCTAAGTATCCTCAGCCATACAATGGGGGACAATGACAACAGTTCCTGTGATGCATATAAGTTCACACATTTAAAGCACTCAGACCAGGACTGGCACAGAGTAAGAACTCAATAACTTTTAGTATTATTGCTTATTTTAAATTTTAATTGTTAATACTATTATAATATTACAATCTCAAATATTAGCCTTATGGCACAAGGAAGAGCAGAGATCCTAGCAGAAATGATTTGCTGACTGTTATCACCATGGATGGTATGGAATTGCTCAAAAAAGGGGGGAAAGATCATTCTTCTAAACAGGAGGCTATGACTAAACCATACAGCTCAACAGGGCCAGAGCAGCTACTATAAGCAAAGACCATTATCTTTTGTAAATAAAATACTAAGCCAAATGTTACTGAATATTAGGTTTGTATATAGTAATGCTGCTATAAAGAAATAAATTTGCTTTTGTGAAGCATCACTGTAAATCTTTACACAAAAATATGGTACCTTACATAACAATACTTCCTTAAAATGAAAGAAAAAAAATATACTTTCTTTATTCTTACCTTGAATTCTTTAATTCCAGTAAAAATACTGATAGATGAAATATCAGACTCTCCATTTGGTTTACAGTCAGTCACAATTTCAATGACCTTATCCAATGCTACTTTCATTCGATCAAACACTCCTTCTTTGTTTTTATGAGCTGATTCGCAGTTGGGGTGCCTGAGACATGTCTTCAAATAATAGAAAATCTTAATATGTGACCCATTCATGACCCACAAAATCTTACAGAGAACATGTCATGCTAATAAAAATGGTTCTTTACCCAAGTCTCCTGGGTCCCTGGCTCCCCCAGCTGCCTCTCCTCACTAGAGTGGAAGCAGGATGAGTAAAAAGCGATAGCAAGGTTAAGTGAAAAACGCAGAGTGCAAAACTGTATCTGTACACTTCAACAATAAGCTTGCCTGAAATTCTTTGGGGTAAATAAAACTATTTCTGCATTATGATTAAAACCATTTTTAAATGTTGCCTTACACATGCAAGAACTAAAAAAAGAATGAAGAAAAATAAACAAGATGATACATGACTACAGCTACAACTTGGACTTTCAAAAAATGATGTGTGTGAAAAACTAATCAAGGGCCTAAATATGAATGGAGCTGTCTGGATGGGCTTCATTAAGTCTCTGTTTTTGTGGCCTCACTGATCCCAGCATAGAGTAAGTACTCTAGCAGAGAGGTGGTGCTAAAAAAAAAACTGCTAATGAGACACTTGCTAGTTCATTCTTGAATTGTACCAATTTGCGGGCCAACTGCTATTTGGAAATACAAGCTCCTGGTTGTTAATTTTGTAAAAAGGAGATAAAGGAATTAGAGTTATGAATTTACAGAATAAACAAACTAAGGGCCGATTCACATTGCACTGTTACTTGACCAATCCTAACTTGCCCAGCGTTTTTCTAGAGCACATGGGCTGGCTCCCTGCAGGAGCAAGCATGTCTGGCAGCCCTTGACTCACACTACCCTCTCCACCTAGCTGCTCCTCCAAGGCTGACACGCAGATTAATCACTGTTTGGAGCTGGAACAGAAAGTCAGCATTCTTGCAAATAACTGAGATTTGACTATTCAAGGCCTAGTTTCTAAGTCACCACTTTAATCTTTATAAAGGCATGAAATAGATAAATTAGATGTACTTAATGGGTTTTCTGAATACAATTTATAACACAGTAAAACAAAAACCTTCTTACCTTTGAAGCTGTGAGAAGCATCATTGTACACTTTTCAAGAACTGCCCTAGCTGCTGCCATTTTTGCCTTTTTCTTTTCATCTTTCAAATCCTAAAGATGAAATAATATCACTGAACCGTTTAAGATCATATAAACAAACCCATTTCTGAAAAGTCATTTATTCAACATTACTTAAAAATTCAGTAACATTGGGGGGGGGGCGCGGGGGAAGAAACAAAGAAAGAAAAAGAAAAAGAACCCCGGACAAAGTTTTATGAACTGTTATGGTCTCCTTCTAAACACAGTAGTCCCCACACCCATATCCACAGTTCCATTCTCCAAGGTTTTAGTTAACAGTTGTCAATTTTTGTTTTACCATCTCTTCCCATTCTCACTAAAATGTAAGCTCCAAAAATAATAATAAATAATGAAGAGTACGTGGATAAAAAAGAACACACTTACACTGTTGGTGGGACTGTAAATTGGTACAACCACTATAGAAATCAGTATGGAGGTTCCTCAAAAGACCAGGCATGGAACTACCATATGACTCCTTGATACTTATGCTGAAGAATTAAAGTCACCACACTATAGCAATACAGGAGGAGCTATGTTTATAGCAAGCACAATTCACAATAGTTAAACTATGGAACCAACCTTGTCCATCAACAGATGAATGGATAAAGAAAAGGTGGTAGGTGTTTACACACACACACACACACACACACACATTGTAAAGTTTTATTCAGCCAAAAGAAAAAGGAGGGGCTGGGGATATGGCTTAAGTGGTAGCACACTCGCCTGGCATGAGTGAGGCACTAGGTTCAATCCTCAGCCCACATAAAAATAAAATAAAGATACTGAACCACCTAAAACTAAAAAATAAATTAAAAATAAACTAAAAAAATAGAAAAATTAAATTATGTTATCTATAAGAAAATAGATGGAACTTGAGACAATTTTGTTAGGCAAAATAAGCCAAACTCAGAAGGTCAAGAGTTGTATGTTTTCACTCACAGATGGAAGCTAGAGAAGAAAAAGGGAAAAAAAAGTTGGGGGAGGGGTGATTTTATGAACATCAAAGGGCAATCCATGGGGAAGGGAGGAAAGAAGAAAAAGGAGAAATATTGGGGAATGATATTGGCCAAATTATATTGTTACAGTATGTGTAATGTATGAATATGGAATGACAAATCCCATCATTATGTGCAACAATAAAAAATATGGAGGAAAATAATTGACTTTAATAAACTAATTTTTTGTAAAAAAAATAAATAAATAAAATAAAATCTAAGCTCTGTGAGGGAAGAGGGGTTTTTTTAAATTTCTTTTATTTACTATTATATCCCCAATACCTAAAGTAAAACCTGATTCAGAGTAAGCAGCTAATGAATACCTGCTAAGTGAATTGAATGAATGAATCTGACCAACATCTATTTTCAACATATTCTAACTATACTAAGGGAGAAAGCATTTTTACCCTGGACATATTCCATGAAAGTGATCCAGAGATAACACTTATCAATCACAAAGATGCCAAAATTTCTGCTAATAAGTTTTAGAGGTCCCGCATCTGAAGAGTTAAATTTTAAAACAGATACTTCAGTTAAGGCCCTCGACCCTTTTAAAACATTGGATCATATTCTTAATAGTCTTAGGAAAAAATATACATTCTCCATACCAAATTTCTAACTACAAATTAAAATAATGGTTAATTTTCCATATACATCCAGATGCCAAAGATCCAGCAAAAAGCATAACTGAACAGAGGTGGCTTTGAAACCTAAAAATCACACCATGCTTGCATCGAGAAAATGTTAGATAATATATAATTATCATAACAATACTCATGCTAATAATTTTATGGGGAAGAGGAAGATGAAGAAGATGGAGAGAGAGAAAAAGAAATAAAAGCAAAAAATGTTTTATAAAAACAGAGACAGAGGAACAGAAAATGAAGCAGTAAGGTACCTATATAAAGAGCTTGATTAGAGCCTAACACCACTGTCCAGCCTGCTCTTTCCAAGCCACCACTCATCTCCCAACTCTGCGGCAACCAGGAAAGTTCACATCCAAAACTAAGGAAGTGACCTATATGGCCATTCCTAGAAGCATCTCAAGAATCTGCTGACAGATGCACAAATTCCCCAACAAGGAAAAGCCAGTCCCGAATATAATATGGGTGTCCACATCCCCAAATTTAGGAGATTATGGTCTGAATTGGGAAACAAATCCATGAAAAACAGATATTATGTTGTAGTTTGAGAATGGCAGGCTTTAAAATCAGATTTAACTGAGTTCATCTGTCAGCAGAGTGACCTTGAGAAAGCATTATCATCTCAGGTTCAGTCCCCTCCTGTGTAAGACAATAATAGCAATACCTACCTCATAAGAATGTCTTGAGAATTAAATGAGATCATGTGTATTAAGGACCAAGCATATAACAGAGCCAGTGCAAATAAATAATGGGTTATTACCATTAACCTAATGTGCTAAGAAAAACAGAAATATATAAGAAAATACTCTAAGAATATGAATGATGGCTCCGTTTGTTTATCTGAGCCCTGGTAGAGGAGTCATTAGAAAGCTTCACAAAAGAGAAAGTACTCGAGTTGGGCCTTGCAGGCACGTATGAGTGTTCCTAGTGAGAATAAATTTAATGGTTACATGTGTCCAATAATGATATGCTGGCCAACTAACTACACCCTGGCTCATTTATGAGGTGTTTTTAAGACCAAGGTTATAGATTAATAAGCAAGGGATTTCAAAGACCACACCTTATCCAAACGAAAAATTATGCCTTTATCTAAAGATTCTGAAGTGTAGTAGATACCTACATTTTGTCTGTCTCCAGTTAAATGTGCAAACTCCACCATTTCATTTCCAAACTGACTGAATATCTGGACAAACTCTTGAAAGCTATTAACTTTCTCTAGTCTTTCCATAGTTGCGAGAACCTGCAAAACAGAATATTTTATTATTAGATAATAGATATAAAAGAGACTGAGACTGTCAAGGCTGAGGAGAGTGAAGAAAAAAGGAAGATTCTAAATTCTAGAGGGACGCTGAGGAGGAGGAACCAGAAAAGAAGACAGGAAAGAAAGTGCTCAGAGAGGCTGGTTCAAAAGTCATGATCTCTTAGGAAATGGCGTGGTTTGAGGATGAGGAGACTTGGGCTTACTTGAAAATTAAAAGGAAAAAATTTCTAGATGACTAGATTTACAGCGGAAAGATCATTTATGTAGCCAACAGCAAAGGCGAGAATGGGGTGGACTGTGGTCGCTGCTACAGCCTGGATGTGGTTTCAGTGTGTCCTAAGCTGGAAGGACAATTTCTAGAGTGTCAATGTAAGAGGTGGTGGAACCTTTAAAAGGTGGGCCTACTAGAAGGTGGTTAGGTCACTGGGGATGCTTCCCTGGGAAGGGATAAATTCATTCCTCACAAGATGCCTTTCCTTGAGAGCGGGTTGTTTTGAAGACAAGACAGGGCCCCTCCGTGGTCTCTGGCTTCCTGTCTTGCCATGTGATTCTTCTGCACATTCTTCCACCATTGTAATGCCAGCCACCAGGAAGCTCTCACCAAAGGCTGAACAAATGGGTCTGCCTGATTGTGTAACTTCAGCTCCAAAACTGAGCTAAGTAAACCTTTCTCTTTATAAAGTACCAAGCCTCAGATATTTTATTATAGTGGCAGAAAATGGACTAATACAGTAATCAAATCTGAGAACTAAGAATGTAGTGAAGATAAAAGACAACACAGAAGCTGTATGGTTCACTGAACCAGAACTGGAGGAATCCCAATCATGTCAGTAAAATGGAAGGAAGGTCATCAGCAGAATGAGGAATAGAAAAGGAAGTTCAGGATTTATGAGCAGGAAAAAAGTTTAGATTAGTCAAGAATTATCAATGTTAAATAAATTCATTGCCTAGAACCTTCAGAGATCAGGAGTGAATAGAGACATGTGAATCTATAGCAGAGCCACAGATAATGTATTTTCTTGATGTAAGAAATGATGTAAATAGATGTGAAACATATTTTCAAATATATTTCTTTAAAATAACAGCACTGAGTTAGCTTTAGTCAGACCTAGAGAGGTTAAGAAAACACAGATATCCTGTGTTTACTTATTTTTAATGAGAATATGATGGATATTTGTCATGTTAAGCTGCCCTAGCAGCTCAGGAAGCACAGGAAACTAATAGAGATAAGGAAGATTTCCACACCAAGCAGAGCCTCCATCTTTCAAAGAGAAGACAGTTGATTCTGATCCTCTAGCACTGCTTGATCCACCTCTCCAATTTCTTATTCTCTTTAAAGTTATACTTTCTGATTTACTCAATACTCATCAGGTGGTTTTGTCTTCAGACTGTACTGGGACAGTCCCTTCCCTGGCTGACTGCCCTCCTTCTTGGCTAGGGAACCATCCAAGGAAAGAAATTATCATATATGCCCCAGGTTCCTAGATGACCAAGAAGTATAACCATCAACTAAGACACTGGAAGAGTTTTGTAATTATTCAGGAATGTTTAGGGATGCTACACACAGAAAATTTTATTACTGTGGATGATTATAGTCTCGGATGATTTAATTTTGTCTTAAGCTTATAAATTGTTACATTCTGACTTAGAAAAAACATACTAAAGAATTCAGCATTTTTACCAACTAGGTTTCTACTACATTTTGCCAGTAATCCTTAGCAAGCAGACAATGATTTTCAGAGAAGAAACTATATTTGCATTCAAAAGTTTAGGCCTTGTTCACACATTACTTAGAAATGACAGGCAAGGACAGAAGAAACAGGGCTGGGGTTGTGGCTCAGTGGTAGAGCACTTGCCTAGCATTCATGAGGCAGTGAGTTAGATTCTCAGCACCACATAAAAATAAACAAATAAAATAAAGGTATTGTGTCCATCTACAACTAAAAAAAAAAATTATTTAAAAAAAAGGACAGAAGAAACACTACTCTTTAAACTGTACACAATTAGTACTATTAATGATTATAATAGAAAAGTACTGCCGAATTATATGTAATTAACCCAGAGAAACACTTTTAAACAAAAGTATTATAATATCAGAAAAGCAAGTACCTTATTTCTTGATGCTATTATCTGTTTGATAACTACTCGGTCTGCCAGCAGCAACACTTTTGTTACAGAAGAGAGAAGTAATCTTGCTGCCTTTATAACTCCTGTTTTGTCTGTAAAAATCATGATCTGGCCTTCAGATTCTGGATGATTCAAGGTGGTCACATCTGTAAGCGCTGCAATTGTTTCTCCTAAGAAAAGTGGGGGAGGAGTTACATTGGGAACGAGACACTTAAGTAAAAATCCAAACTGTTTTCTGATCTTGGATGTCACGCATGACAGAGGAAAAGTTGACTCTGCAGCATTAGTTCAAGAACAAGACATGGTTTCTCTTGATGATTGGAGAAATTATCAAATGAAACTTTCTAATAACAAAATAACAGCACACTCTTTAGAACTGTGACAAACTTAACTGACAAACTTTTGCTTCCACCCCATTTACAAAACAGAATTTTTGTTTCTAGTAGTATGTCCAACTCTACAATTTAACAGCCTCCTTCTCTGCAAGACAGTAAAATAAGTCATACGAGACCAAAACCAAAGAACCTAAATCCAGAATAGAAAGCAGAAGCTTGGCCTGAAATTGCTTAGGTTTGTACAGTCATCCAAGGAGAGCAGAATGACAAGGCTTTGGGCCCCAAGGGTTGATATCGTCAATGAGAAGTGAAGACTGTCTGCTCATCAGCCTGGACTTGGGGTGGGGAAAGCAAACAAAGAAAAAACCTCCCCCTCCGCTCTCCCCATAAGACTTCAAATCCTGGGCTGACCCTCTCTCTTAGGCTTTCAGGTGGAGTTCACACTTCCTGTGGTGCCCAGTGCACATCACTCTACCAAACAGATAAACTTCCAACCCTCTAGAAAAATTCTCTTATAGGCCAGGTGAAGTGACATAATCCTAATAAACAAAATAACAACAACAATTTTGGGAAGCAGGAGGATCCCAAGTTTGAGGCCAGCCTTAGTAACTTAGCGAGGCTCTGACTTGAAAAAAGGCCTAGGGATGAAGGTCAATAGCAAAGCACCCCTGGATTCAATCCCCAGTACCAAGAAAAAAAAACAAAAAAGAAAAATTGTATTCATTGGTATCATCAAATAGTTTGGTTTCTATTTACTTAGTGACACAAGGATTGAAGCCAGGGGTGTTCTACCAGGGGTGTTCTCCCAGCTCCCACACCATTCATTTTGGTTCTTTCTTTTTTGCTTTCGGCTTTTTGTTTTTCTGAGACAGGATCTCATTAAATTGCCCAACATGGCCTTGAACTTGCAACCCTCCTACCTCAGCCTTAATCCTCATGCCTCACTCCCAAGTCACTGGAATGACAGTCATAAACCACTATGCTTAGCTCTATTTCATTTCTATAAAGCAATATTCATCAAAAACAACACAAATGTTTATTCTCCTCAAAGACAAAACCTAGAGTAACCTCCAAAACTTCTTGCTATTAAAGTCAACAAGATTTTTAAAATATTGAATTATCATCTTGTAGTCTTCAAGATAATTTTTAAGTTCTAAATAAACCTGTGTATCTAGTGATCGATTTTCATAAATGCTCTCCTGTCAATTTTACTCCATACATGCAATAATGTCTCAGCCAATAGGCTAAGGATCTTGCAAAAGTACTAGATAGAACCTTAAAGGACAGATCACAAGCATAAAACAAAGTCAGTATTTAGAAAGGCATATCTGGTGGGAGCACATAAAATGGACTGGAAGTGAGAGACTCAACACTAGACTACCACTGTAATCATGGTGGTAAGGACTTTTGAAATGACAGCCACAGGAACAGAAAGAAGACGGTTTGAGAGAGACTGAGAAAAGAAAATATAGAATTAGTACCTGGCCAGTGATAAAAAAGAAAGGAATGGTGAAAAATGGCTTCAAGGTTGTGAACCTTAGTCACTTAAAGAAAATCAGAAGGGCATGGAAAGGAGATGATCAATTTAGTTTCAGAAAACATGAGTTTTAAATGATACAGGAATACACAAAACATAAGCCCCCAAATGCAGACTAGTCAGCAGATTTGAAAGTGACAGTATAATTGCAATAGCTGAAGCTTTACCAACAGATAAAGCCTATGGTAGCCAGTCTCCAACATGGCCCCTAAGGATCCCCAACTACTAGTATTTACATCCTCATGTAGCTCCCTCTCTCATCCAAGCAGGGCTGGTGTAAAAGAAATGATGGTCACTTCTGATGTTAGGCTATTAAAAAATTAGAGACAATAATCTTGTTCCCTCTCTGAGGGAAGCCAGCTGTCATATCATAAGCAGCCCTCACCACAGCAACACCTGCACAGTGAGAAACAGGCAGCAAATACAGCCAATCCATGATCTAGTCAAGGAGCCTGGAAGCAGATCTTGCAGTCTCATTCAACTGTCCCAAATGACAACTTGATTGCAACCTGGTAAGACCAGTGACCCAAAACCCCTGCCCCACCAGAAATCCTGAATTCCTGACTCTTAGAAATTGAGGGAGAGCCAGGCTTTGTGGTGCATGCCTGTAATCCCAGCAGCTCAAGAGGCTGAAGGGGGATCATGAGTTCAAAGTCAGTCTCAGCAACTAAGCAAGGCCCCAAGCAACTCAGCAGGACTGTCTCTAAATAAAATATTAAAAAGGGCTAGGGATGTGGCTCAGTGATTGAGTACCCCTGGGAGGAGAAGAAGGAGGAGGAGGAGGAAAAAGAAGAAGAAAGGAGAAGAAACTGACAGAGATGATACTATTTGCAACTTTATGTTGCTACCTTTGAGCTAATTTGTTTTACAGCAATACAAAGTTTTTATTAAACAGTTTTTATGGCAAAATAAACAAAGCACTTAGAATCAAACCCAAATGAACACAGAAAGGGACAGGAAGAGAAGTATCAGTTTGTATACTACCAGCAATAGCTGAAAAAATAAAAACATTTCCTCTGTTTCTCTGGAAAAAATTTATCCTGTTAATCTCAATCACCAAAGATATCACGTAAGCTTACACATATGTATTATTTTAACCCTTCCTTTTTTCTGACTGAGCCCCAGGTGTTCAACTCGTAAATACATGAGATAGTAACATTTGATCAACTCCCAACATAGTCAAATACTTCCTTAATGTTGTTCAGAGTTCAGAGTAGCCTATTCAGAAATTAGTTCTCTGAAAAAGCACAAAGCTATCTTACAGCTTCATGGTTGTAGTTTCTTTTACTATGCAACCAGTATTCTGTCTTAAAGTGAAAATCCAAAGCCACTCAAACATTTAAATTAATTGTTCCTCCATATAAAATATAAACCTTGCCCAGTAGCCAAGGAAAAAGTAAAAATACAACGCAAGAGTTCAACACAGTGAAAGAATAAAAACTAATTATAATGACACTAATATTTATTGAACATTATTATGTGTCAAATGCATATATGCACTACAGTAAGATAACTCTATAAACAATAATAGCACTATTTTAATTTTTTTTCCAGTATTGGGGATTGATCGCAGATTCTTATACATTCTAGGCAAGTGTTTTACCACTGAGCTACATCCTTTGTCTTTATTTTATTATTTTGTTATTTTATTATTTTACTTTTTCATTATTTTGAAATAGTATCTTGGTAAATTGTCAAGGCTGTCCTCAAACTTGCAATCCTCCAGCCTCAGACTCCCTAGTAGGTGCAATTATAGGTGCATAACATCACCCCCTGCTAAAAGCCCCATTTTACAGATGATGACACTAATTAGTAGCTTGTGACCCACAATGGGGAGGAGGCATGGGGACAATGGAGGAACTTTGATTGAGCAAAGCAGGGAGGGACGGGGATAGGACAGATGGTAGAATGAGGTGAACATCATTACCCAAGGTACATGTATGACTGCACATGTGATGTAACTCTATATCATGTTAAACCAGAGAAATGAAAAGTTGTGCTCCATTTTTGTCCAATGAATTGAAATATACTCTGTTATCATGTGTAACTAATTAAAACAAATAAAAAATCAAAAAAATTAGTAGCTTGCCCAAAGTCTCTCTGCTAGCATTGGGAAGAGTGGGATTGGCACATGGGCAATCTGACACTCAGCTCTTGTGCTCTATCACCACTTTCATTATTCCCCTCAGACGAATGCTGAGTTGTCCAGAGGAGAAAATGGTTCATATGTACTAACTGGGTCAGAAACATTTCAGTGATGTAAGTCTTAAATCTACACACATTAAACAAACAAACAAAAATGTGGAGGTTCCATTCTCATTCTCTTACTTGAGTGACAAAGTGACTATGAGAGAAAAGGGCACCTTGAATAAGAAGAGATGATGTGTGGCATCCATGACATCTGGTGGCTTCCAAAAGATTCCAGCTAAGCAGCTGCCTGAGCTTACAGTACTTGCAGAGAACTATACTCCACCAGAGCTTGTCACCATTTCCTGTCCTCCTTTGTGCTTGCCCTATCCTAAGCACAATGGCACACCACAAAGCCAATAAAGATAGAACTCCGGACACCCTTTCATTATAGGGCTTCACTCCTGCTTTTATCAATAGTTGTTACAAGAAACAATATGAAGAATGGCTCTGCATTTTCTGTGCATTTTCCCCCGTCTTATGTAATGGCTTTTATAAGTGCCCACATAATAATTTAGTGCCAGGAAAAAATTGTCTCTCTCCTCTCACAAGCTGGTTTGTTTCCTTTTAGCAAACAATAAGAATTATATAACCCTTTGTTACTCACATTTTTGTTTTGTCTTTCAGGAAGTACAAAGATAAATTTCATGCTTAATTAAAATAATCATGTTTGCCAAAGTTTGTGTTTTTTTTTATTATAAGCTATTTCAAATCCTTTTTTAAAGTAGGAAACATAAATTATGAATAGAATAAGTCTCTCTCTCCTGCCTCTCACATAAGACCTATTCTGTAATCCAGCAAATAGCCAGAAGCCGAAAGTCAAACCAGATCTTCCCTTTCCTTTAGTCAAAAATCTGGTTCCATCGATCCAACAACCTTCATGAGTATTTTGTGCCCTCTCTCCGCTCTTTATAACCCTATTACACTGTCTTGGTCTGGCTGTTTTTATTGTAAAGTTTCCATTTTAATCTCTCTGCTTTCCTTCTCTCTTATATGCATCTACCATCACAAAGATTTCTAACAGTCTCTCTCATCTGGTTCAAAATTCCTCAATGACTCCCTATTACTGATAGAAGACTATATTACATCATTCATATACCATGTATGAACTGGCCCTCTATATTTACTTAGTCTTATTATACCTTTCCCCTAAAGACCCTCCCAAAATACCTGCTCCTCTCTCAGGGTTGTTCACCTCAGGAACTGGCCATTCACCAGCTGTCCATACCCCAAACCTTGCAGTATGCACATCTCCTCTTTCTGTCACATTCTATCCAAAACATCAGCAAGTTCTATCTGCTTCACCTGACAACATAGTCAGATGCTACTGCCTTGCACCACCTCAAATGCATTCACCTAACCTAGCTCACCATTATCTGTCACCTGGACCACTGCAACAGCCTTCTGACTGACTTCTCTGATTCTACCATCAGACCCCCTAAAATGTACTCTCTTTACCAAAACCACTAGTTGCCTTTTAAGATACTTAAGATCTTTTTTGTGTGTGTGTGTGGTGCAGAGGATTTAACCCAGGACCTTGCATGCAAGGCAAGCACTCCACCAACTGAGGTATATCCCCAACCCTATATTTACTCATATTTACAAGCTCCTTGAGGGCAGACTTTTGTACATGGATATACCCCTACAGCCTAGAATAATGCTTGGCTATTGCCAGCACTCAGTAGATACTTATTGAAAGAATAAAGACATAAATGATAGTTTAACAAAACTGAACTATTTGTAGCCCTCAAAACACCCCGGGTTCTGAAATGCTTCTGGACTACGAGCTATATAGAGAACTATAACAATATAAGATCTGAAGCCATGATGATTTGTCTGTCATAGGTATGGACACACACTCATGTTGTAACATTTCCTACATGGCAGGAGGTAGGCCACCCTGCTCCTTGAGGACAGAGCCCAGGCTTCACACTTTGCATCTCTCTCATCTCAATAGCTGATGGTGAGGATGACATGTCACCAGTGTGACCAGTGAAAGAGTCCTATGTTTCAGATTTAGAACTTGAGCCAAGAAAAGCTCAATATTCCTGGAAGCTAATCCAGGTCCTCAATGTCCTGGGCATCTATTATCAGAAGGCCCAAAATCGGTATACATTTTTACTCATAATAAAACAGTAGTCTGTTGTCATATCCAAAGCAATAAAACTGGTATAAATAGACTTCAAAATCAATATTCACATACCTGCTTGTTTAGCTTCAATACAGGCAATACTTATTTCTTCTTTCAAATCCCAGTTTTCATTGGCTATAGCTTCCCCCACTTTAACAAATCTTCCAACTGCCAGGTTGACGGCTTGTCCCACACGCTGAATTGCTTGCAGAGTTTTATCAGACTTTTTGGTGTTATCTTTATGATTAATAAGTGTGGTAATCTAAAAAGATAAATGCAACTAGCTTTAATTTTTTTTTCTTTGAGACATAATATTTGTATTTATTTTTGAGATAGAGCAGAACAATTCAAGACACAGACATGAAGACCAAACCAGGCTAACAAGCATGTTTATCTCCTCAAACATCATCATTTCTATGTGACAGGTATGTTGTTAAAAGTTTATGCATGAGACCAGACTTTTTTCTCTTTGTTCTTTTTAGTTATACATGACAATAGAATATATTTTGACATATTATACATACATGAAGTATAAACTTCCCATTCTTGTGGTTGTACATGATGTGGAGTTACACTGGTGATATATTCACATATGAACACAGAAAAGTTATGTCTTGTTCATTCTACTGTCTTTCCTGTTTCATGACCCTCCCTTCCACTCATCCCCTTTGTCTAAAATCCAAAGTACTTCTATTATTCCCTATAACCTGCCCCCCCCCACCCGTTGTGGGTTAGTATTCAAATATTAGAGAGAACATTTAGCCTTTGGTTTTGGGGGATTGGCTTATTTAGCTTAGGAAAATTGTCTCCATTTACCCATCCATTTATGGGTAAATGCCATAATTTCATTCTTCTTTATGGCTGAGTAATATTGCATTGTGCATATGTGCCATATTTTCTTTATTCATTCATCTGTTAAAGGGCACCTAGGTTGATTGTATAACTTAGCTATTGTGAATTGAGCTGCTATAAACATTGATGTGGCCTCGTCACTACAGTATGTTGACTTGAAGTCCTTGAGTATATATCCAGGGTGGGATAACTGGGTCAAACGGTGGTTCCATTCCAAGTTTTTTGAGAAATCTCCATACTACTTTCAGAGTGGTTACACCAATCTGCAGTCCCACCACCAATATATGGGGAGTGTACCTTTTTCCCCACATCCTCACCAACACTTATTGTTATTTGTATTCTTAATAAATGCCATTCTGAATGGAGTGAGATGAAATCTCAATGCAGTTTTAATCTGCTTTTCTCTAATTAAACTAGCTTTAATTTTATCTCAACTTTTTAAGATGTATCACATAAGAAAATCAAGCATAGCAGTGGACTAGCCCAATAGATTAAATCAATATATTAATAATTTTAGATATTTCAACCCAGGGACAACCAGCAAAGTATCTTGCATCATTCCTCAGAACAATACTTCCATTAATTACGATTCCAAGTGCACCTGAGGGCAATTATCTGGGGCACACAGTTCTAGCAGCTCTCCAGATCGTTCAATAAAATCTTAGGCAGGAGAAAAGAAGGAGAGGCTAAATCATTACATTCACAGAACTCACAGAAAACCAAGTACTTCAGGTCTAGCTTCCTCTGCCACATCCTGAGCCACTGTGAAGGTGAAGCCACCTCTCCACTGCAGTCCACACCATGGCCTACCATAGTACATGGGTTGTACCAAGTAGTACACGTGCCACATGTAGTTACAGAATTAATTAAATATTTAGCATGACCAGTGTACTCTATGTTTTGTTCTCTCTCAATTTTGTTGCACCAGTCTCAAAGTAAAATAAATACCAAGGGTTTTAACACTTGGTCTCAGGTCCCCAAATTTAAAAAAAAAAAAAAAAAAAAAGATAACAAGTTCAGATCACTGAAACATATTTTTTAAAAAATATTCAGAAAACTAATACATGAACCATGTGAAGTATGAAAAATATTTATTAAAGAACATTGCATGAGGGTTGGGGGTAAAGTTCAGTGGCAGGGTATATACCTAGCATGGATAAGGCCCTGAGTTCCATTCCCAGGTTCATGAAAAGAAAGGTACATGAAAAACATAGATTCTAACTATTAATGTATGCAGAATTTAACTTTGAAATTATTTATATAGCACATTAACAAAGACCACAATAGAGAATTAAGAGAAGAGAAAGGGAATCACTCTTATCCTTTGAGAAACTAGTATGTGCTTGTATGTCAGGTATTAAGAATTTAGAATAGAAAGGCCTCGATTTGAATCTTTTCTCTGCCATTATCTAAATGACCTAGCAAAATATCCTTAATCTCTTTAAATTTCCACATCTACAATGTTTCGCAACATAGTTTTAGTATCTACTAGTTGCCCTGAGGGGGCATGGGTAAGACTCATAGGATCCTGCTTCCATTAGGTTTACAGTATAGAAGCCCAATAATTCCATCACACATAATGTATTTGCTGCACACTATCATATGCCAAGTAAAATTTTAGGCAATGATGAACAGTGATGAAGAAAACAAAGCCACTGCTTTCATGGAATTGGCGTTCTAATGGAGGAGGTGGGGAGATACAATAATTACATAAAGGGGTCACCAAAAATTTTAATGCCACCTTGAGGCCCTAAGCAACTCAGTGAGACCCTGTCTCTAGGTAAAATACAAAAAAGAACTGGGGATGTGCCTCAGAATGCCCAAGTTCAATCTCCAGTATACCCTACCCCCCAAAAAAATGTATAGAGGAGGTATGTACAGACTTAAGTAGCCCAACTTCAACTTTTGAAAACATATTCATTTATTTTTAGGAAATGATTTATTTTAATAGAAATCTGTAAAATGAAATAAAAGTTGAAAAAAATAAGCTCATATGTTAAATGTTAAACCCTTTAATCCACTAAGACCAAGCTAGTAAATGCAAAGACTAAGAACAGAGAAAGCACAATCATCAGCAGTGAGCCGTTGATTGGTATCCCTTTATTGGAAAGCAAGTTGACGATTTGTGTTAAATGTGTTCATAACTCTTCACACAAAAATTCCATTTTGGAAAATATTGATAAATAAAATAATATAAAGTATGGAAATAATAAAACAATGGGAAATGAAAAAAACTTTAATGTAAATGCTATGGAAAATGTTTAAATAGAATAATATGATTTAAAGAATCTGTGTAGCTGCTTGAGATTGTTTGTCTTCCTTCTGTGAGGAAAAGAAATTTAAGCAGAGATCTAAATAATAGCAGGTAGCCAGGCTGGTGAACACCAGGGAATAAAGCGTTCTAGGGAGCAGGAACAGTCAGGGAATGAAGGGTAGGAATGAAGAGCAGGGGTAGGAATGAAGGTCAGAGGTGGTCAAAGCACATTGAGCAAGGAGGCAAGTGTAAAACCGATGTCCAAGACAAGCAATGGTAAGAACTAGCCATGGAAGGCTGGAAATTGGAGTCAAGAATCTGTTTGATTCTATGCATCACAGGAAGCTACTGAAATGTTTTTAAGTGGTATGATCTCTGTAGTGGTATTAAAATGTCTTCATAAATTCTCTCATACTTTTCCCTTGAAAACGTGGAGCCTCATCTCTCTCCCCTAGAGTGTGGGCTCATCTCAAATAACAGACCAGAATGGAAGCAATGGGGTACTTCTGAGGAAAGGTCACAGAACACACCCCGACTTCCACCTCACCTGTCCACTCTTTAGGATCAATCACAGTAGGAAAAAAAACAACAAAACTGCCATCTCATGGAGGCACTCAAACAAATCCATGGAGAGCCCCACAAGGTGAGGACTTTGGACAACAGGAAGGAAAGGACTGAGGTCTCCTGCCAACAGCCAGATGAGCAAACCGGGGAGCATATTTCCAGGCTCAGTCAAGCCTTTGAACTGCTACAGGCCCAGCCAAACATCTTTATTGCAGTTTCAGGGCAGACTTGAATCCAGAACCACCAAGTAAATAACTCCAGAATTCTTGGCCTACAGCAACTGTAAGATAATTATTATTTTGAGGCATTAAGTTTGGGGGAATTTGTTTCATGTCAATATACAACTAATACCAATTTTGGAACCTGGTTTGAAGTAACTCGATAACAAAACCTAATATGTAAAAGTAGCTTTGAAATTGGTATGTGGAAGTTGAATGGACATTAAGGAGTGAGTCAAAGCACCAAATGTCCATGGTGGATGTAGTTCAGTAGTAGAGCACTTGTCTGGCATGCAAGAGGCCCCGGGTTTAATTCTCTGAATAATTTCTTAAAAAGCTAGAAGATTGTTGAAGAAATTTTGTAGAGCACAGTAATTTGTGCTCTACAAATCTGCACACAACAAAATATCTTACGCTGGGTAATTTATGAACACCAGAAATTCATTACATAGAGTTTTGGAGGCCAAGAAGTTCAAAATTAGGGCTCCATAAGACTCAGTGTTTGGTAAGGGCCAGCTCTTGGTGGATGGTGTCTTGGCATGGTAGGAGGGGGAAATAGGCTCCTTCGGCCTCTTTTATATTAGTCTCATTCATGACCTAATCACCTCCCAAAAGTTGATAATAGCACCAGGGCAGTTACAAAATATCAGTTGTGGGAAGAAATCAAATCATTATAGACGTTATAAGAGAAAGCTTAATGAAAAGTGAGAAAAATCTCAATAGAAAACAGAAAAGGGGATCCTTCTTATGTAGTATAGAAAGAAGAGAGTGTATCTAATGAACTCAGTGATCTAGCTAAGGAGATGTCAAAGAAGACTTGGAGGGTGCTACCAGGCTTTTTCCTACTGATTACAGTAAAATCCAAGAGAAGAGAAAAGTTAAAGGAAACACTGTGAAATAAAAGCAAGAGCTGGCTCAGAGGTAGAGCACTCGCCTACCATGTGTGAGGCACCAGGTTCAATCCTCAGCACCTTATAAAAATAAAATAAAGATATTGCATCCACCTATAACTAAAAAATAAATATTTTTTAAAAAGCATGCCAGAACTTACTCATTTTGAAAATTTATAGCCAAATAGTACAACATGCTAAAATTAAGAAGGGCTTCTAGGCAAAAATCTGTCAAGAAAGCACGATCTAAAGACAAAGGTAAGGATATAACTATAAATCTTATGCTACAATCTCAGTATGAGCCAAAGAAACAAGTTTCCTAAGACACTTAGAGGTTTTGTTTCTAAGCAGTTCCAGCAGAAGCCCAGTTAGAGAAGAGCTTATCTCAAAGAGACTTGTGGATATGGCTTTTGTCTAATTAATACACTGAGTCCAATATGACTCAGAGACCAACATCATAAATATAATTATATTGGCAAAAACATCATCAA